ATTCGCTGAGGTGAGTGGATTGCCTGAGCCCGCGGGTTCGAGACCTGCCTGGGCAGCGAGACCTCATCTCTACAATAAATCAAAAAATCAACCGGGCGTGGTAGCTCACGCCTGTAATTCCGGCTACTCGGAAGGCTGAGGAGGAAGGATCGCCGGAGCCCAGCCGGTCGAGGCTACGGTGGACTGCACTCCAGTCTGGGTGACAGAGTGAGACTCCAACTCAAAAACAACAACAACAACAACAACAACAAAAAACCAAAAAGATTTATTATAGGCCGGGCGCAGTGGTTCAGCCTGTAATCCCAGCACTTTGGGAGGCCAAGAAGAAGATTGCCTAAACCTGCGAGTTCGAGACCAGGCTGGGCAATTTGGCAATCTCATCTCCACAATAAAATAAAAAATTAGCCGGTAGTGCGTGCCTGTAGTTCCGGCTACTTGGAAGGCTGAGGCGGAAGGATTGCCAGAGCCCAGCAGGTCAACACTGGGGTGGCCCTGTACGTGCAACTGCACTCTAGCCAGGGCGACAGAGTAAGACTTCAACTAACAACAACAAAAAAAAAAATACAAAGATGTCTCACAAAATTTCATGGAAAGAATATTTCTGGATCTCAATAGTGACTGGAAGTAGGAGTCAGAAAGTCATCAGATACCCAGAAAAGTCTTTTCTGTTTCTTATCCCTGCTTCTTTCTGGGCATCTTCTTTCTTCTTTCCCTTTGCAAACTGAATAGTTTATTTTCCAGTGGATTTGGAGGAAACTGGCTACCTCTCAGCTCTCAAGTTTACTTCTTGCAGTTCCAGCTATAGGCAGAGACTAGCTGACTGTTTCTAGCTCCCTATTCCACCTTTATTCCAAAATATGATTAGCTTGGTTTGTATCCATCACCCAATCCTGGCCTGATCAGGTACAGTTAGGGTGACAAGTTTCACGGAACAAATGTTGTTGAGTCACTGGATGAAAGTTCTTTAAAAGGGGGAGCTAGGCTGGGAGTGGTGGCTCATGCCTATAATCCCAGCACTTTGGGAGGCCAAAGTGAGAGGATTGCCTGAGCCCATGGGTTCAAGACCAACCTGGGCAACTTGGCGAGACCTCATCTCTACAGTAAATAAAAAAACTAACTGGGCATGTTGGCACATGCCTATAGTTCCAGCTACTTGGAAGACAGGTGGAAGGATTGCCTGAGCCCAGCAGGTCGAGGCTGCAGTGGCCGTGAGTGAGCGTGGCACTGCACTCCAGCCTGGGTGACAGAGTGAGACTCCAACTCAAAAAAAGTGGGGAGGGGGTGGAGCTGGTTGGTGGACTGTAGATATCTTCAAGTATCTGTTTTATTTCTGTTCATCTCTATTTCAGAGATGAACAGAGATAGATGAACTTCTCTCATTTCAAGGATGCATAAATCTAAGTGCTCATGGTATATTGACTATCCAGAGTCATACAGTCAACCAGCATGGGTAGCTTGAACAGTGGCACCAAGCAATGGACTGTAGTCTGCATACTTGCCACAAAACATCATTTCTTCCATTGTTTCTACGTGTATGTGCCACGTGTATGTGTATGTGTGTCTTGTATCCTAGTCATATCCGATTTAGTTGAAATGTGAGATGTTGTGTGGGAAATGATGACATGCTTGCTATACTATCTGCAATTCCCTTTCCTACTATACTTGCCTAGCTTGTACAACATCTTGGGTTCCTTACAAAGTTAGATCTTCCTGGTTAATGAAATGTGTAAAAAAGTCTGTGACTTTTTTGCTGTAGTTCATCTTTTATAGACATCTTTGTTGATTTGTGTTTTTAAATTTTTTAAGAGATGGGATCTTGCTTGATTTGTGCTTTTTAAATACACCATTGTATTTGCTATTTTGCAGACATGAAATTAGGATGTGGTTATGTATAGAATTTTACAGTCTTGCAATGTTCAAGTACTTAGCATCTTCTACATAAAATTTACCCTTTTAAAATGTTTGTTGCTAATGGTATGTTGGATTTACCTCTTTTGTGAAATCCATAACTTACAGTAAGATATGTTATCTGACTCTCTTTTAGGTTCTTGCGTGAGTTAGGACGACATAACTATGTTACTGCTACTTCTTATCTTGAGCTTATTGGCTCATTTAGACAGCTTTTGACTAAGAAACGACAAGCTATCATGGAAGCAAAACAAAGATATGTAAATGGGCTTGACCAATTGGCTTTTGCTGAGTCTCAGGTAAATTTAATGAGCTGCTCACAATGGTAATATATTTAGTACTGGGAAATATAAGAAATAATAACAAGAGTTACAATTTATTGAGAATGTTATGTGCCAGGCTAGGTGTTATGTACTTCACATTATTCTTCATAACAACTCCATGAGGTAGGCACTTTTATGATCCTCATTTTACAGATGAGTACAGTAAGTTTTAGAGAAGCTCCGTAAGTTGCCCAGACCACATAGACTCAAATATATTTTGGTTTTTTGTTAATTAATTTTTTGGCACTTGAGACAATATAATAAGTCTAGGTTGCTTTTTATTATAACAGCTTGTTAAATATTAGATTGAGTTTTTGTACATGAATCAAGTGCTAGTGATACTTATTAGTCTTAGGTAAATGTAAGTAATAGAGGTTTTATTGGTTCATCTTTGTATCGTATGCCACGCACACAGTAAAATAGGGATACCCTGAGCTGCCATTTTCTTTTCTTCCATGGCAACTACATTCTCCTACTGCTTTGTCATATACTCAAGAAAGGTAAAGTCTTTTGTGACTTTCATAGTTTTTTTTAAATCATGAAAATAACTATAAGAAAAAACTTTAGATGTTTTGCGCCACTATTTTATGATACATTTAAATTTCTATTTTCTTTGTTTGGTTTCAGTAGCGATTATAGCAATGGAAATTTAATCATATGATATACTGTCTATTTAGGTTGGTGAAATGCAAACGGAGCTTGTTGAATTACAGCCCAAATTGGAGGAAGCTAAAATTGAAAATGCACATATGATGCAGGTGGAGTATTCTTCATGTTTTTTACTGATGTTAAAGGACAATTGAATATGTTAAATTAACCTTTAAAATAAGCCTTGTTTTTTTGCTTTTTTTTTTGTCACTAGAGTTTAAGGACTTTAGTCTTTTCTATTGACTAGTTCATTGGGTCCCATGTGGGTTCTGTCATTTTTGAAGAGAAGTATGAAGCCCATTTCCAAATTAGGTTACATGTATTTTCATTTCTCCTTATTTTATTCTAGACCTGTCTATCCTTCAAAATTATATGTTAGATTCCCAAATCTTCAAATATTCTTTTGTCTCCAGGATTGAGAAAGCAATACGATGTTTGAGAAACTGTATTTTACCTTTCTTTCTTTTCTTTAGATTATTGAGATAGAGTCTGCACAAGTAGAAGCAAAAAGAAAGTTTGTGAAATTAGATGAAGAGATAGCCAGTGGGAAGGCTGAAGAAGCCCAAGCTCTGAAAAACGAGTGTGAAAGCGACCTAGCTGAGGCAATTCCAGCCTTGGAAGCAGCTCTGTCTGCACTGGATACGCTTAAGGCAAGTGTTTGAATTAGCTACCTTGTGTTTAATCAACAAAGGGAAACTGAGTACTGGTATTTGGCTAATTAGGTATGGTTCTATTTAAATGGGTGGTATGATATTGTTTTTGTCCAGTCAAATGAAACTTGCCTCTTAACAGTTCTTCTTTGATTTATGATTGTTGTATTATTATTACTATTATTATTATTAGTTGGGGTCTCACTCTGTTGCCCAGGCGGGGGTGCAGTGGCATGATCACAGCTCACCGCAGGCTCAACCTCCTGGACTCAGGCGAGCCTTTCACCTCAGACTCCAAGTAGCTAAGACTATAGGCATGAGCCACCATACCTGGCTAATTTTTTAATTTTTTGTAGAGACAGGGTTTCACTATGTTTCCCAGACTGGTCTCAAACTCCTGGGCTCAAGTGATTCTCCTGCCTTGGCTTCCCAAAATACTGGGATTTTGGTGTGAGTGCCCCATGATCTTTATTTATTCATTCTCTCCTTAGAGGTTTCTCACAACAGCAACTTAGTTTGACAAATCTTGTTTTTAAGAGGCACTTCATTTAAGTAACTTTCATCACTGTGTTCCTTGAAATTTAGCACACCATCTCCTGATAACAAGATTCTTGATGCTTTCAAACCTCTACCAGCTCAAGTCATTAATAATAAGTTTCCCTTTCACTGAGAGTCTTGCTTTTACCCTTCCTGGTATCGAATACCATATTACATGATTTAGAGTTCAGTTGCAGAGAAGAGAGTCGACTCTACAGAACTGTAGGAAGAGCAGAAGAAACAGATTAGGTTGAGGTGCCAGAAATGTCTACCAAAGCCAGATTGCAGAGTAGTCTACCAGAAGGGCTGCCCCTCTGAGTAGGAAGCCTGCAGAGCCTTCTCATAGTGCCACACATAGTCTCCACTATAATCCATGTTGGCAAAATGGATGCCTCATACCCAGTCACTTTCCCCATTTATTGTCTGAGTTCTAGTATTACTCAAGGCATCTAGAATCTAGTTCCCACCCATAACTCTAGTTGCATGAGAAACTAGATATATAGTTGTTAGCTTTCCAACATTTTCTCCATTGCAAGGAATGCTAGAAGGATATTGGAGTGGGTAAGTGAATGTATAGTATCTGCCATAACAATATGTACCCCTTTTTATAAAATAAGTTTGTAACTGAAACCCATCTCTTCTTTCATCTTCTTCCATAAAATGTTTATTACAAATAAGAAGATATAGAATCAAGTCTTTTTTTAAATTAGGATTTTTTTAAAAGATAAAGCCTTGCTCTGCCACCCAGCCATAGTCCAGTCACACAATCATAGCTTGCTGTAGCCTTGAACTCCTGAACTCAAGGAATCCTCCCACCTCAGCCTCCTGAGTAACTGGGACTACGGGAGCATGCCACCATACTCAACTAAATTTTTTTATGTTTTGTAGAGATTGGGTCTCGCTATGTCACTCAAACTCCTGGCCTCAAGTAATTTTTCTGTCTCATCCTCCCAAATTGTTGAGATTACAGGCATGAGCCACTGTACCTGGCCTAAATTAGGATTCTTTACCTGTGTTCTATATATGGACTTGATATGTGATTGCATATGTGAAAAACTCTTATTTTTTGGTGGGTTCATAGATGCCATCATATTCTTATAAGGATCTATGAACCCCCCCCCACCAAACATTTGATAACCATTAGCCTTTATCTATGCTAAATTATCTTTTGCTAATTCTTTCATAACCATGTAAAGCAAAAACAAACAAAAATTTCAGATAAAAGTGGTGCTTTTATTATTCTCCAAATTATTTTAAAAATTCTCTTTATCTGGGCGTGGTGATTCATGCTTATCATCCCAGCCCTTTGAGAGGCAGAGGCGATAGGACTGCCTGAGTCCACGGGTTCAAGACCAGCCTGGGCAACTTGGTGAGAACTTGTCTCTACAATAAATGAATTTTTAAAAAATTCTCTTTATCTACAAGTAAACTATCCTGAAGATGTTCCCTCACCCCCCACTTTTTTCTTAATTTAGCCAGCTGACATTACAATTGTGAAATCAATGAAGAATCCTCCATCTGGTGTTAAACTAGTTATGGCTGCTATTTGTGTCATGAAAGATATAAAACCAGAAAAAATTTCAGATCCTTCAGGAACTGGAGGCAAGGTAATAACTGGACACAGATTTGAATTGTATACATAAATGTATAGAATTTGCTTGCAGCAATGTTATCAAATTAAATATAAACAATACTCAATCAGGGAAGAAACACTGTTTTCCAGATTGAATGAATTAGGAATAAATTATGGAAAATACTATCTATATGTAGTCTAGGGTAAAGCTAAGGCAGTATAGTATCATAAAAGTGTGGTTCCAATTGCTTTCATTTTCTTTTCTGTCTGTGAAAAACTCTCCACTGTCATGGGGTTGGAATTAAATGAACACTGGGATACCTGTAACCTACGTAGCTAAGATTCTTGAGAAAGTAATACATAACAGATAGGTACTGTTTCTAAGCATTCAAAATATTCTGCTGAGTTAAGCAGTATAATGAAGTTGTTAAAAGCATGTGCTCTGGAGCCAGAATATCTGTATTCACAAATTCTGATGCCATTAGCAATGTGATCTTGGACAAGGTGTGTGATCTTTCTGTAAAAAAAGGGTAACCTACTTCACAAAGTTAATGTGAATATTCCATTAGTTTATACATATTAAGTTCTTATTTATAAAGCCTCACAAACAGTAAGCTCACAATAAGTCTTAGCTGTTATTATTACAATTATTTTTCAAGGATATACCTCTTAAAAAGGAAGGCATAATATCCATCCTAAACTAAACTTACAAACTTATTTTCTTTTCAGGTTTCTATAATATCTGGGTTTAAATTCCTGAATTGAAGAATTGTGTTTTGTTCATGTTTTATTTTGTCTTTTGTTTTGTTTTTTTGCCATCCTATCTTTCATTGTTATAATAAAGAAAAGAAATAGACTTTTGCCTTATGAGGTTTTCTTGTTTACACACACACACACACACACACACACACACACACACACACAACACACACCCTTAGCAGGCTTTTGGAAGTAGGAAAAATAATGTTCCACACTTGTTCAACATCTTTTACCAGCATAAATAGCATGTGCTTCACCCTACAACTGGCAGAGCAACATGTAATCTTTGGCTTTCTGCCTTTTCTTCTTTCTACTTCACTTGGGGAGCCTAGGTAGGGAAAGGGGTTGTGTTTAAGAAAAATGTTTGCTACTTTTCTTGTTTGGAAGAGTCAAAGAATAAAGAAAAATGAAAGTTGAAGTAATAAAATTTATTTTTTATGTGAAATTGTGATGGTGTTATGCTACTTGCTTTTAAGTTTTCAAAAGAAATAATCACGTTTTTATTTCAATGTTTAATTTTGATGACAAATTCAATCTATAAATTCATGTTCATATTTAAATATTTTCTATATTTAACTTGTTCTCAGGAAGAGGAGTCTTAATTTCCAAGGAGATGTAAGCTAATATTTTGAAAGTATATGAACAATCTCGCTGAATAACGTATCGTAAACTTCAAGAAGAAAAATTTTATGTCTAGCATCTTTAATTGTACATTTAATAAATTTCCATAAATTTTATTCATAGATATTAGATTACTGGGCACCTAGCAAAAAACTTCTGGGAGATATGAATTTCTTAAGAGATTTGAAAGAATATGACAAGGACAACATTCCAGTGAGTTGCATTGGATTTTTAAAAAATATTTTATTTTAAAGATGTGGGGTACAATTCAGGATTTAGGTATAAAAGTGGACATCATACAAATAAAGTTTGGGCTTACCTTTGATCCCCACTTTGCCTGGTTTAAGATCAGATATGCTTATTGATGTTGTGTAACCCCCATCCTCCATCCTGGCAGTATCCTGCTACTGCCAATCCCTTTCTTATATAATACACAAAAAACCACTTCTCTTTCATATAATTAAAAACTAAGATACTGTTTTAGTGTATTATTGACTTGAAAGAGTTCTCTAATGTCTTCTTGTAATAAGTAGTTTATTAAGAAATCTGATATACAAATTTATGTAAAATTTCTAAAAACTATAGTACATTCTTTTCCATCCAAACTCTTATTTATACATTAATGTTTAATTGTTCTTTTACCTTATTTTCATTTGTTTTCTCAACTTACAATTTAATATTTCTTTTAATATTTTTTGAAGAAATATCTTGTGTCAATATCTGAAATAAATGTGCATATTTTGCTCACAAATATGACTTGTGTTTCCTCTATAATTATGTTTATTTGTAAATTATCTCAAAATATTGATTTTTAAAGACAACATTACTTTTTTACACAAATACTTTTTTTTGTATATGTTTATTTTTTCATCTTATTGTGTGATCTATGCTTAAATTTTAAAATCTAAATCTTTATTGTATAGGTAACTGTTATGCAGAAGATTCGTGGGGAATACTTAACAAACCCCGAATTTGACCCCCCTAAGGTTGCTAAAGCTTCTTCTGCTGCAGAGGGTCTGTGTAAGTGGATCATGGCTATGGAAGTGTATGACAGAGTTGCAAAGGTATTTTGAAGATTAGCACATCCATTATTTATTAAAATATTCCCAGAATTTATAATCTATGCTTATATTTACTAGTTAAGAAGTTTCTCAAAGAGATTCCAGAGACAGTTTGTTCTGCTGCAGCATATCATCAGATATTAATTGCATACCTAATAGATGAAGAGCTTATGAGTGTATGATATAACCTGGTTGGAGCTGGTGTGGGTGGTAGTGCTGCAGGAGCAGGAATGGTTAGCAGAATTGGCCAAACTGGCTGTTAGCGGTAGAGGCCAGGGCAAAGGAAAATTAGGGTTTGCTGAGGGAAGAACAGAAGCAAAAAACAACCTAAAACATCAAGGGCAGATTACTCAAGTGACAGATTAAAAAGTTGATTTAAAGGATCAGAAGCAAGAGGATCCAGTGTAGTTAAGAGGTAGAGCAAGGAAAGATCCCTTGAAACAGTAGCATGTATACTGGTAGGGAACCTTGATTGGAATACCCACTGGGACCAAATTCCTGGGAGAGAAGACAATAGTTAAGAGAACATTTAGTAAATTTTGATAGCAAAGGCCTAGGACTTGCCCTCTGTGGCTTGTGGAATTCTACCCAGAGAAGCAGAAAATATAAATTAAAAGGCAAATGAAAATATGTGGTCACATGTGTTTAAGACAAACTCAGAGGATAGAATGAATGTTATCAAGCTATAACAATTGGGAAGATAATTCAGATACAATATGTGTCTGTACACAGGTAGGGACTTTGTAAGTTTCAGGAGAATAGCTGTATAAACCTGTTAAAGAAATAAAACTAATTTTATCTAGGATGTCCTTCCATCGAACATCTCATGCCTTCTCACAGTAGTCTCACAGCAGCTGTGCTAACTCAACTCCGCTAATTTCCACATGCCCTATAGGGCATATGGAATCTTGTGGATCCTTTCTACAAAGCAGAGAAGCCACTCTGCTTCTCACTCTACACCTTCACTTTACCACTTATATTCTGATACAGCTGATACAGGAGGGTAGAAGGGAAATATCCAGCAATGTATCCTCTGAAATTAAAAGTAGAAAAGGGCACTTTCTACTAATCTATTTATTTAACATATCTTCCTTCAGGATTTCAACCCAGAGGAGAAAAAGCAGGACATTTGGTATTTGATATCTGATCTGGCTCTCTCTACCTCTCTCTCGCTCTCTCCCCCTTTCTCCCCACCCCCACTCTCCACCACTCTCCCCCTCTCCCCTTCTCTTCCCCTCTCTCCTCCTCTCTCCCACTCTCTTCCCTTCTCTCTGCCTTCAACTTCATTCATGGCAATTTACCAGAGGACTAGGTCTACCCTCTTTCTAACTGGCACAAGTTCCCTTTGGTCATCTAAATTTTTTGCACCAAGGGCTTACAGTACTTAGAGTAGTACACTCTGTAATCAAGTTGACCACACCCCATTCTTGTTATGCTAATGAGCATAACAAAATAACAATTTTAGGAAATCCCTTCTTTCTCTTAGTGTGACTTTTCAAAATTTGTTAAAGACAATTCAATTTTGGTAGTGAAACTGAACATCAAGGTTTTCTTTCTTTGTATTTCCACATGGATGGCTGTAATTCTGGCAAGGCAGATGTATGCCTTAGAAAGGAAAAACAAAAACAAAAACATATGTGTTTGAACACTTATTACTTCTATGTATTTTTCTTTTTTTTTTCATAACAGTTGAGAAGCACCTATTCATTATTTTGAGATTTCCTGTGACATTTTTCCTACATGTTGTCACATTTTATTAATTTGAATAATTCATCTATTTTATAGTTAACAGTTTGCTGGTCCAGATAATTTATATTTGAATATTTTATAAAATATATGGGTATATTTTATTTGTATATAAAGATATGAAATAAAATTTAAGACAAAATGTTAATTTTGTATAATTATTATAATAATTTCAAACCCATAATACCTATAGAGGAATTATATAGATGTCAGGTTTACATGGTACACATCACATCTGCACATATTGTTCCCAAACAGGTAGTGGCTCCTAAGAAAGCTCGCTTAGCAGAAGCTCAGAAGTCCTTAGCCGAGACAATGGAGCTTTTGAATCAGAAGAGAGCAGAACTGGCAGAAGTGGAACATCATGTGGAAAATTTACAAAAGACGTTTCTTGAAAAAACAGAGGAAAAGGCTGCTTTAGAAGATCAGGTGGAACTCTGTGCTAAGAAACTTGAAAGAGCCTCACAACTAATTGGAGGACTGGGTGGAGAAAAATCAAGGTCAGATTTCTATTTGTTTTAATAAGATTTAAGAATCAAGGCTAAACATGTGACTTTCTTTGGTTGTTTATTATGATTACTGATTTTACAATGATTTGTTGAGATTATGGGACATTCTACAAGACAGCTAGCCAGCCTCTCCACACAGGAGTACCAATATTGAGGATGCTGTTTGCAAATTGCTTTTAAATGGTTAACAACAAAAAGAGACAAATAAAGCTAATGCTAACATTTTTTAAAATCTAAGTAGTGAGTATGTACTTGATCCTTTCCAATTTTATGTATGTTCAAAAATTTTTTGTAATAAAGTGTTTGGGGAGAGTAGTGGATGCATGGCTCACTTGGTTAAATTTTAATGTCAAAGAAGATATAACTGGCTTGATCCAACAAAGCCAGTAAGCTTTATTCTGATCTATTTACCTGAATTAGACAGCCAGCTACTTCATTTATTAATTCTGTATGTTGAATGAATAGCTTGATAGGGTAATATGTCTTTGACAATACTTTGTAGTGCAGATTAGATGGTTTTGGAATATACTTTTTTATTGTAAGAGTTTCTTTAAATGGAAAAAATATCAATCTCAGCAATCATATATAAGTTTCTAAGTTTCTCTATAGCTTTAATGTAATTTTTGGTAATGAATTGCAAATGTTCCTATGTTTTACAGTCTAACAATAACTACTAAAACAAATAGCAGGGTCACTAGACCAAATCATCCTAGAGAAAATTATTAGGCAAAATGCTGGTGTTTTGTTTGTTTGTATTTGCTGTTTCTCAAGGGCCTGGTTCTGCAAAAAATGCAGAAATGTTCTAATAATGAAAGTAGATTTTCATTCACATAATACAAATATGTATTGTAGCATATTAGACCTAGAAGGGCTCTAACCTCCTCATTTTACATATAAGCAAGTACTCAACATTTTATAGCTTTTTGTTATAGAATCGGATAGCAGCCCCTTGCCCATTCAATTACTGCCTTCCCTCATTCTCTGTTGTGAACCTGTTTTGCGTTTGGTTGTTGGCACAGATGGGCTCAAGCTGCAGATGACCTTCAGATAACATATGAAAATTTAACTGGTGATGTCTTAGTATCAGCAGGAGTAATAGCCTACCTTGGTGCTTTCACTTCTGCCTTTCGACAAATGTGTACAAAAGATTGGAGCATGCTGTGCAAGGTAGTGATTTTATATTTTATAAGTTTTCTTTTGGAACATCCAAAGTATGTTTGGGGATATTTTGGGGGAAAGGATGATTATAAGGACAGGAAATAAGAAATAACTGAAATCATGAGGTCTTTCTTTTTTTGCTTCTACTTTGATCAGTAGACTACTTCCACAGTGCAACTTTTTTTATTTTGTTTTGTTTTTGAGTTGGAGTCTCACTCTCCACTGCAGCCTCGACCTGCCGGGCTCCGGCAATCTTTCTGCCTCAGTCTTCCAAGTAGCCAGAACCACAGGCGCGCGCTACCACGCTTGGCTAATTTTTGATTTATTGTAGAGATGAGGTCTCGCCAAGTTGCCCAGCCGGGTCTTGAACCCGCGGGCTCAGGCAGTCCACTCACCTCAGCCTCCCAAAGCGCAGGATTACAGGCTGAGCCACCAAGCCCGGCACAGTGCAACTTTTAATTAATTTTTTTCTGTTCCTTAGAGTTATTAAATAATACCTAATGACAAGTACATCAGTATTTTAATTTAAAAATATTTCAATTAACAAGATATAAGGAAACATCCATTTTTTGTCTATTCCTTGCAGGAGAAAAAAATCCCATGTTCAGAAGAGTTCTTGTTGAGTAAGACTCTGGGTGATCCAGTAAAAATTAGAGCTTGGAATATTGCTGGATTGCCAACAGATACATTTTCCATAGATAATGGAGTGATTGTTAATAACTCTAGGCGTTGGTAAGAAACATATTTATTTTTTCTGTTATTTTATTTAAGTTTTCAAACATATAGAAAAGTTGAATTTTTCAATAAGTACCAATATAACTACCGTCTCCTAGATTTTACAATTAACATTTTCTTATTCTTGCTGCTTGATCACATATTCCCCCTATCCATCAGCCCATCCTTTTAAATGCATTTCTGTGTAAGTTGTCGGCATGGATATGCTTCCCCTCAGTACTTCATTGTGCATATCATTAACTAACGTTCAATATTTGTTTGTTTTTTTCTTTTAAGGTAAAATTTATGTACAATGAAATATACAAAACTTAAATATACCATTCAGTTAGTTCTAACAAAACTCATGAGTTTTGCAACTCAAGCCTCTATCAATATACAAAACATGACTGCCTTCCAGGAAGTTTCTTTATGTCCCTTTCTAGTAAGTCCCTACTCTCATCCCACCCCAGGAAATAATTGTTCTGTTTCCCATCATAGGCTAGTTTTGTCTAGGTTAGTTTTGCATGGACTAGTTCTAGAATTTCATATAAATGGAATCATACTATATGTGCTCTTTTGTGTACATATATGTGCACAATTTTTGAGATTCACGTTATTGCACATATTGGTACTCTGTTCCTACTTTTTTTGTTTTTGTTTTTGTTTTTTTGTTTTTTTGTGTTGGAGTCTCACTCTGACGCCCAGACTGGAGTGCGGTGGCTGCTCCCGGCCACCGCAGCCTCGACCTGCTGGGCTCCGGCGGTCCTTCCACCTCAGCCTTCCAAGTAGCCGGAATTACAGGCATGCGCTACCATGCCCGACTGATTGTTTTGATTTTTATTGTAGAGATGAGGTCTTGCTGCCCAGGCGGGTCTCGAACCCGGGGACTGAGGCAATCCACTCACCTCAGCCTCCCAAAGGCGCAGGATTACAGGCTGAGCCACCGAACCCGGCTTGTTCCTACTTTTTGTTGCTAAGTTGTCCTCCATTGTGTGACTATATCACTGTTGATGCATTCTCTTATTTTTGGACATCTGGGTTATTTCTAGTTTTTGGCTGTATGATGTATTTATTTTAACTAGGTACTTCTTCCTATTTTTAAGATACTTGATAATTTATGCAATTTCATTAATATCTTTTTCAATCGCTATCTTTTTTTGTTGTTGTTGCCCAGGCTGGAATTCAGTGGCACAATCATGGCTCCCAAAGTGCTGGGGTTACAGGCATGAGCCACCGTTCATGACCCAATCACTATAGAAACTTTTCAAATTTTTAATCCTTTTATCTATATCACTGAAAAATTTGGAAAATTACCTTTCTCTGAGAAATAGTTTTCTATAATGGTTGTATAGTCACACTGTCATCTAATTTTAAAAGTCTTTTTATGGGACTGTATCTCAAACATACTGTGATAGAGACTATTAAGCTCATATTCATCAGGTACTATTCTAAGTGCCCTACATCCTCATAACATCCTATGAGTTAGGTGTTATTATTATTATCCCATTTTACAGATGAGGAAATTGAGGGCCAGAATGTTTTAGTAATTTTGAATTTAGTAAGATAACTGAGCTAATAAATGATAGAGTCATAATGTGAACCCAGGCATTCTAATTTTCACATTCTTGCTCTTAATGACTATGGTGGAGTGAATTATAGAATAGGATATCATACTTACTGCCATTAAAACCATAATGGAAATTTCAGTCTTCTTTTGGAATATGAGATAGATTAAAGCTATAAGGAAATCTAACATCCTGAAAGTTTGAGTTATTGTTTATTTTATATTATTTGGAAACCTTACTAGAAACTTCAAAAACATCTTAGTCTCCTTTATATTGATAGTATTGTTTTAATAAAATAATAATGTATATAAGCCCATTGCTGTAATGATAAAATCAGGGTAACTGGAATATTCATCACCTCAAACATTTACCTTTTTAAATGTTGGGAACATTCCAATTCTCTTCTAGCTATTTTGAAGTATATCATAAATTCATTGTTAACTATGGTCACCCTATTCTGCTGTTGAAAGGACATTAGAACTTAAAAATATGTCTTCTTTGAGCCTGTTTCTGTTGGTTTGTCTCTTGAGAATGATTTGGGGTTTTTTTTCTTGCTTATTGAAGTATCGCATATTTGAATGAATGCCAGATATTGATATTATAGGTTTAACAATAGGAACTGAGCTAAATGACATTTACTCCCAGAAATGGCCATGCCTCTTTTTCTGTCATATTATTAATGCAGAAGTTTGAGTCAGTCTAATCATGAGTAGAGTTGAGTCTGGCTTTTGTTGTTGTTATGGTAAATTTCAGAAGACTAGAGGTTTCAAATTCATCTTGCTATGGGCACAAGCTTGATGGGGTTCTGCAGGGTTTTTCTCAGTATGGAGTTTCGCCTTTAGCTTTCAACCATTCCTAAATGTCCATGCCACAGAGGTTCTCTTTCTCTATTCTTACTCTTCCTCTGGAGGTAGATTGCTGTTGCTTGGTGGTCCATGTTAGGTTTGTATTGGGGACAGAGTGGGAGTTCTCTGAGTATTTTAATTCATACTCAGTCATGGGAAGGTCCTATGTACATGGGCCATTAGGGTGGGAATTTTTCAAACTTGCTGCCCCTTCTTCCTATGACAGCCAATTCTGCCTTCCAGCTATGATTGATCTTGAGCAAGAGTTTCCTACTCCTCTCCTAGAAATAGAACTCTACTTGGTAAAGTTATGATGTTTTGACCCAGACATTTTTCTGCTTCTCTCCCATGGGTTGAGCTTTTGCCCCTTTCTCAGGTGCAATGTGTGTTTTGCCTTTACTTCTTCCAGGACTCCTAACACATGTCCTAACACATGTAATTTTCCAGCTTGGAGTTTCCTTGGTCATGTATATAGCATAAATGTATACCCTAAACCTACATAAGATACAGACCCATGGCCACAAATGCTCAGGGGATACTTCCTTCCATCCAGAAATGAGACAGGAACCACAACATTTTTTCTTGTATTCTTATGCATAGGACTGGAATTTTTCTACTCATGATTTCACTAAGCCTTTTGTGGATTTCAGCTTAATGCAGGGATCTCAATTCCAGCCTCCTGCTGTATATGGACCCAGTGAGCCTCTAGATTGCCAGAGTCTAGCTGTCAGTTCAGCTCACACACTTAGTGTTCTGGATTTTAGTTTTGCTTGTTTCTGGCACTTGTGTTTTCTATATGTATTATGTATGCCTGTATCTTTTAAATGCATGCCTCAGTTCAAGTATGTATTAAAATTTATGTCATATTTTATCCATCAATACTAGAAGAAAGAAATATTTTTAAGTTATTTAGCCAGTCATGCTGCTGGGACCGTAGTTTATAATTAAACAGTAATTTTGCTTGTTCCTCATAGTTTCTAGAAGTTTGTTTATAATATCATGCAGTGGTTAAGAGCAGTTCAGACTCCGATATCACAACATTTCGGTTCAGATCTTCTCGTATCACTTTGTCTTGAGACTTTGGTAACCTATTTGACCTCTCAATGCCTTGGTAGCCCCATCTGTAAATAGAGAAAATGACTTCTACCTCATAGATATGTTATAAGAAAGCAGTTAGCACATTATATGTTCTCAATAAATGTTACTTTTTTTTTTTTTTTTTTGGAAAGCAGGATTTATTGAGAGGACAGAAAAGCTCCCACAGTGGGAAGGGACCCAAAGAGGTTGCCCAAATGTTACTCTTTTATTAATCATCTTAAAATATCTCATTTTAGTCTATATCTTAAGCTCTGGTTTTGCTTATGCTTTTACCATGATGAAAATACTTTCTGTACTCCTTTTGTTAGTGCTTAATACATTGCTTTGGTCACTTAACAGCAAAGCTTATTTTCCCCTAAATGGCTACCTCAGTCAAAAACATAAATGATAATGCTGCTTTCTTCAGACTGCCCAAATATCTCAAATGTAGGCTAGTATTATTTTCATACTTCAAGTAAGTTATACTTAGAATACAAATACATGGGATGGCCTATCTCTACAATGAACACAATAATCCAATACCCCAATATTCATATAAGGTTATAGGAAATAGGAGATGTATTGCTTATAGAATAGACAAGAATCTCTAATTATTGAATTACAAACAACATTGATTTGAGCATTACCAAGAACATTTATTAACAATAGAATGTTAATTTATAGGTATTGTTACTTTTTGCAATGGAATAAACAAATACTGTATTTTCCAGTAATAAGGACATGTAAGGAAGAAAATATGTCCCTTTAAACGGGAGCTTAGAAAGTACTAAAAGCATCTTCTAGTCTAATTACTAGGCAATTTTAAAGCAGTTTTATGCAAAAATATATTTCTTGTTTGTACAAAACCTTTGCTCTGTTTGCTATGGAAAAGTAGATTTTAAGTAGTGTCTGAAACTTTTTGTATTGTAGATAGGATTTCAACATAATTTCAACTCAGAAAGAAAACAATTTATCAGCTAGTGTTGTCATTTGGGAAGAAAAGAAAAGAAAAGAACACAGTTATCTGGTAGTAGATTACAGAGCTTATTCGTAGGCAAAAGGAAAGGAAGGGGATTTTAGCCCTAGAAGCTGTTGGAATAGACAAAGAATGTCTGGGAAAGTTGAAGTGACATGGGACAAAAACTCCCCTTTCTGTGTTGTACTTTTTAAAGAAAATTTAATATACTATGCTTAATATAAAAGGGACTTGAGACAATCATCATCTCTGAGGAAAAGTACATAATATTTTAAACATCTGAATATCACATATCCTTGAACAAAAGGTCTTTACTAACTTAGAAAAAACTCCTAAATAGATCTCAAATACATACCACACTCAACTTGGACACTTAGTTTGTGATTCTACTCATAATCTGAGGAAATCCTTTATATGCTAGTAGATCTCTTGTTTTAAATTTTATCAATTTTTTTAATATTATGTTAATAGATGTCATATATTAAAGTTACCGTGAAGACAATGTGTTATATTGGAAAGAGCTGAGCTCACAGGTTCACAAGGTTGTACTTCTTCTAATACTGATCTAGTTTTGAAAACTTTGTACTCTCTGACTCTGAATTTTTTCATATGAAAAATAAATAAGAAAAAAATTCCTTTGTACTTTCTTTTCACAGGACTTTTGTGAAAATTAATCCTGATAATGTATGTGCAGTACTTTGTACAGATTGATGATGATGTTTATTATTTAAATTACATAGTTTTAAAGAAATCTTAACCTTTATGTCTTCCTCTCAGAATTTTTCTTATGTTCTAGGCCTTTAATGATTGACCCCCAGGGTCAAGCCAATAAGTGGATCAAAAACTCTGAGAAAGAAAATCAGCTTAGTGTTATTAAGCTATCAGATTCAGACTATATGAGAACACTGGAAAACTGTATTCAGTTTGGAATTCCACTTCTATTGGAAAATGTTGGTGAAGACCTGGATCCATCGTTGGAGCCTTTACTGCTTAAACAAACTTTTAAACAAGGTATAAGGCAATTAATGTTCATTGGTAGAACTGAAAGATGATTGTATTATCTTTGAGGCATGAAAGAAGCCCACTACAAAATTTAATAACGTTAATAACTCAGAACTTCTGGATCATTCTTGTGAGTGAAAGGAAACTTGGAACAAGCTATCGGGAATAAACCTTGGTCAGGTATTCTAAGATAAATTCTCTTCACTGCCTTAACACCTGTGATCTGGACTGTTCTAGAGAGAACATAAAGGAGTTGAAACCAGTTTGAAATTCCTTTATCTTGTGACCATTACCACACAAAATCCATTACTGGGAATAGCAATGGTGGTATGGGCCAGAGTTGAGTTTAGGTTAACATTACCCACCCTACATCTTACTGTTTATAAAAATGTGTTTCTGCTAAGTACTAGTATCATTAAGAATTTTAGTCATTTAAAAACATTTTGAAATCATGATTGAAAATTGATGGAGAATGAAAGCTCACAATAAATCTTGATTTACAAAGCTTTATTACAACCAGAGAAAATGTCCTATATTACCCTAGAATGAATTCTTCTATATGATTGCTTATTTGCTGCTGTATCTGTGACTCTTGTCACGCCTATTTTCTATTTCAAATTACTTTAGGACCTTTTATTTGTTACCTAGGAAAGGCCATAGAAGTACCTAGTGGGAGGGATATATAACTGGGTCACTTATGCATTTGTTTTCTGAAATATAGGTGGCATTGATTGCATCAGACTTGGTGAAGTCATTATTGAGTATTCCTTTAATTTCAAATTTTATATCACCACAAAACTGAGAAATCCACACTATATGCCAGAGCTGGCTACAAAGGTGTCTTTGCTCAATTTCATGATAACTCCAGAAGGACTTGAAGATCAACTACTAGGTATTGTTGTTGCAAAGGAGAGGTATGTATTTTCTTAGAGGCTTCCAGATGGTTTAAGAGGGTAATATTTGTAAGCCGTTAATATTTTTGTTTTGTAATTATTTCGAAACTTTGTCAAATTTTATATTTTGTTATTATAAGTTAAATAATCATATGAAGCTTTAAATTTGCCATTCTGTAACAAGTAGGTTATAGACCAACCATGTTATATTGGGCTTTTAGTATGGCAGTGGAATTCAGGTTACATGCCATGACTTCTGACTTGTATCTGATTATTTGAGCCAGAAATTTCACCTCTAGGAATCTATGCTATAGACATAATCAGAAATGCATTAATTTCAATATATATAGAATAGTAATTAAAATGAAAATGCTTAGCACAAAAAGGAAAAAGTAGCCTATAAAACTATATGAACTATAGGTAATTTTTTTTAAGTTAGTGGATGAATGTTTATCTGTATATGCACAAAGAAAAGAAATAAGATTGGAAAGGAATACACCAGAATTTTAACAGTGATTATTCCTGTGGTGGTAAGACTATGGGCAATTTACATTGTTTTCTTCTTACTTTATATATTTTTCTATTACTGGTATGTATTACTTTTGAATGAGAAAAACCATTATGACAACTGGAAGGGCTATTATAGTAAAAATTGCTTCTGGAATGAAGTCTGATTTCACTTGAAGCTTAATATAACATTATGAAGTGGTCTATTACATGAAATTAGATTAACAGTGAAAATATGTAACCATGAGATGTTACTCTCAATATCTAATATACCCATGTAGGTAGTCTCCAATACAGAACAGTGTCATAATATATTCTATTATATTACATGATAGATTGTGTTATTTTGAAGTTTCATGCTATCTTTTTTTATTAAGACATAGTGCTAATTTTGCATTTCATGTAAAGAGCCAGTTTTATGGCCATTTTTTCTATGTTTGCTATTAAAGAAAAGATTGTAAAAATGAGATTTAGTGATGATGAAATCAAGAAATAAATAAGACATTTTATATTCTGACTTTCTTCTCCAGTTCTTATTCTCACATAACCAGCTATGCTATATGGATAAATCTAATATATATTCTTAAAATTCCTGTGGCCCATGTTATTGCCACATTTTATGTGTATACAATTAATGCTTTTTGGCTTGAATGTCTTAAATTGTTATTTGTATGGAAGTATTTTTTCTCTTTAAATTAGGATAAAGAGATTAATCACTTTATTTTATGTTACATGTCTACAAAATTGTGATATATAATATTTAGATATAAATGTAGATATAAAACTACAAATTTAGACTAAATGTTTCTGTCTTTTTAGGCCAGAATTAGAAGAGGAACGAAATGCTCTTATTCTTCAATCTGCAGCTAATAAGAAACAGTTGAAAGATATAGAGACAAAAATTTTAGAGACATTATCATCATCTGAAGGAAACATTTTAGAAGATGAAAGTGCAATTAAAGTCCTAGACTCTGCCAAATTGATGTCTAATGAGATAACAAAGAAACAGCAGGTGAAAAAGAATCCTTTTGATTCTTAAAATTTTAATTTTTCCTAGTCCCTGAAGAAAAGTGTTATAGTAGGCTTATTGGAAAAGAAAAAGAATTGATAACATATCAAAATATGGAAACTAATTTTAAACTCATAAGAAAATATTTTACTTCTAAATTATTCAAAACGTGGTCTAATCTAGTTGGTATCTATACACAGAAGAAAAGTTTGTTGTTGTTTTTTTTAGTTGGAGTCTCACTCTGTCGCCCAGACTGGAGTGCAGTGGCATGCTCCCGGCCACCGCAGCCTCGATCCGTTGGGCTCCAGCGATCCTTCCGCCTCAGCCTTCCAGTTAGCCGGAACTACAGGCGTGCGCTACCATGCTTGGCTAATTTTTGATTTTTTGTAGGGACGAGGTCTCGCTAAGTTGCCCGGGCGGGTCTCGAACCCCCGGGCTCAGGCAATCCACTCGTCTCAGCCTCCCAAAGTGCTGGGATTACAGGCTGAGCCACCGAGCCTGGCCAGAAGAAAAGTTTTAGTTGATTCTCCTAAAAATCGAATTTGAGAACTTTATCTTACCTCCGTTCCTAGTAGGAGTTTGAGGTGTATGGAGGCAGTTGCTGGTTTATTGGACAATAAGGGGTTATAGGAATCAATAGGGATGTTCTTTTGACATATCTTGTCATTTACTTGTCCAGGAGAGAGGCATGAGAGTTAAAGGTGGCAGGTGGATGGGGGGCAAGTTGTTTATGGCCAATAGTGCATTTATTGAGAATTAATCTAACATGGTTGAATGATATTTTTATAACACCTATCTTTTTGCAGAACCATATAATGTTATAGTTGGAAGAGGTTTTAGCTATCAGTTATTTTTGCACTTCATAGTTGAGAAAACTAGGGCTCAGAAAGATTGGCTAAGGTCTAAGTTTACACAGTTAAATGATATTATAGAATGACTTCTGTAGACTAACTTTATAATTTTTTAGAACTTTCAGTCCTCCTTGGCCCACTCAATAAATTAAGTACTTCTTCAATTTGGGGTAGTTAAAAAATAAAAATAGACCTAAACAGAGATTGCAGTAGTCGCTCAGCACCTTCCATTGCTCCCCATCCCAATCCAGACCCATATTGGGACAGAGAACTTTCAGAAGGTCTAGACATCCTTACCCTTTGGATTTATGTGATGGTAATAACTCTATCTGGTCAGGTGTACTGTTTGAGTGTGTGCTGCTTTTTTAATTTTAGGAGAACCAAAGGACCAAAAGAGTAGAGTCTTATACTAATATTCTATGACAGCCTCCCATCAGCTACCATGGCTGAGGTATTCTGTAGTGTTCCCCTTCCCAATTCCTGTCCATCAGAGCAGAACAAGCTTCTTATTGTCCCCTCACCAAACTGGTTTTCAAAGAAAGAGAAGATAGAAAGCATGTATTGGCTTATTTCCTATTAAGACTCAAGGAGAAAGAGATACATAATTATTTATTTGTTCAAGTACTTTATCTTAGGAAAACAGTTTTTATAAAACATAATCTGACTGGATCCCATTTCAGACATGGTTTTAAATTCATTAACTATTTTGATCCAAAATATACTCTGGATCTGGTCCTGAATTCTAGTCTACCTTTCCTCCACCTAAAATAAGAAAAACCATCTTCAGAGGATGGCTCCTCCACATAGTCTAAAACCTGCTTTTCCCTTTATTACAGCCCACAAGATTAAACAAACACGACCAAAATTTTAAACCCTCATTCTGTAGATTTCAAGATTTACCCCTACCCCTACTCCAGTGGTTTTCTGACTAAAGTTTAATCTTTCATGATTCTTGGAAAGTATTTTATACACACACACACACACACACACACACACACACACACACACACACACGTGTGTGTGTGTGTATGTATCACAGAACATTTTTACAAAAAATAAACTACCCTCTTTTAACATCTTAACATACACTCGCAGTATTCATTTCTTGGAAAGTGTCTTGTTCCTTGATTTGAGGCTGTTAATAGTAAATTATTTTTTTAAATGTACTTATACTTCCTAAGTGTAGCATTTCATATTAAGGGTCCAAGTTTAGCAATTTTGTTTATAAATATACTATAGATATAGTATATTTATTTTTGTTTATAAATATACTATAGATCATGTCATGGAACATTAATTAAATTATTATTTACTATGTATTTATTTATTTGGTTCAGAGTCTCACTCTGCTGCTCAGGCTGGAGTACACTGGCATGACCACAGTTCACAGCAGCCTCTACCTCCCAGGCTCAGGCGATCCTTCTGCCTTAGCCTCCCTGAGTAGCTGGGACTACAGGTGCACCATCACACCCAGCTAATTTTTTTATTTTTTTGTAGAGATGAGGTGTCACTATATTGCCTAGGTTGGTCTCCAGTTCCTGGGCTCAAACATTTCTCTCACCTCGGCTTCCCAAAGTGCTGGGATTATAAGCATAAGCCACTATGCCTGGCCTACTTTTTAAAAGTAATAGCCATATGTACTGTTTGTTTTTGCTTGCTATTTCTATTAATGGCAAAATGACATTTGAGTTGAAAATTCGAGGCTTAAATAGCAGAAGGTTTAAATGGAGACACTAAAATTATGCTTTCTTATGCAAAATGTCATTAATTCCCATTGTTGATAAAACTTTGTTTTACTTATAGTCAAGACTGTGTTTCAAAACTTACTTTTGGTTCATTTGTAGTTATACAGTATAATGTTGGGGAAAGTGTGTTTGCAAGGAACAGAAACTCCCTCAAGTTAGCCAAAATAAAAAAGATACATTTTATTTTCACAATTATAGGATGTACATCCAGACCTCCAGGACACATAGGAAGCATTAAATTTCTGTGCTCAGTCTCTCCACTTATCTCTGGGGCTGTGTGGTCCTTCCGTGCTTCTCTTTACTCCATCTGAAAACCAGCTTTTTTCTATAAAACTGTTGCATCTGTTCCTTCATACACTCATCTGCTATGTAGAAACCAATATGTAGAAAAGGTCCTACTACATTTTAGCACTAATGCCAGTACCACCTGACTTCACTTTCTGAGGCCATTAAAGTTTTAATTCTCCAGGGGAATTTTTGATTAGCTTATCTTAGATCTGATTCTATAGGATATCAACCTGTTTGAGTTGTCAGTTGAAGAGCTATTATAGTGGAGAAAACAAAATTTTTGGCAGTTACTCTGCAAAGAAACTCTATTCAGCTAGAAAAGTTGAATATATAAGAAGCAAGTTTTAAAAAATTATTCTTGATGCATAAAGTCATCAACCAACAAATTGTTTTGAAAATCTTTGCCATACATACTCTGTGCTGGATTCTAGTACATGAGTTAACACCTTAAACATGCGTACATACACACTTGCTCTTTTCCCCTCTATCTCTAACCTATTAAAATGAAAGAGGTGAATGACTATAATCAACACATGGCAGAATCAGGCAAAGAATAAGTGAAGATTAACAACTGATATTTCTCAAAAAAGAGATCATTAGTGGTTAATCATATTTTTAATCTGTAAAGCTTTTTTTTTTCCTTTTTTCTTCTCTTGTTTTCCTTTTCTCTTCTTCTCTCTGTAGTTATTTCCTTCTTCCTCTTTCTTTTCTCTCTTTCTAACTTTTGGTATGATACCACCATGTTTTGTAAATATTTAAAGTCATATAATTTTGTCATTGAATTAGGAGGTTTTTAAAAAATATAAACTTAATTGTATGAAAAGTGCGTAATTAAAATACATTCCCTATTCTTAATCTTGTTTTATCTCTTCTCTTAGATTGCAGAAAAAACAGAACTCAAAATAGCAGAGTCTCGAGAAGGCTATAGACCTATTGCTAAACATTCATCAGTACTATTCTTTAGCATTGCAGACCTGGCTAACATTGATCCCATGTATCAGTACTCTCTTACCTGGTTTGTGAACCTATATATCAACTCTATTCATGACAGGTAAACATTCTCTAACTTTATTCATCTTCCACTGGTTGGATTTTCATAATCCTTTCCATTAAATATAACTTTTTTCTTATTACTTACGTAATATGTATTCATTATAGAACATCTAAAAATATGGAAAAGTAAAAGAAAGAAAGATAAGTGAAAGAAAAGAATGAAAGAAAAATAATTAAAGCCTCTTCTCTGTTTTAAATAGTTGTTTTATGCCTACTCAAGATTTAGGCATAGAGGGACAACCTGTAGTCCTTTTTTCTCATCTCTTAAATATTTCAATAAAGGAGACACATGCCTTATTTTTGCTGACGACTCTAGTTTATCTTTCTCCAGCCATGAGCTCTCTAAAAGGTTTCAGTCACACATTTCTAATAGTTGTATAGGGTGTTTTCACTTTAATCAATTAATGAATGTGCACAGATTTTGGAGTCAGACTGAAGTTGGGGATTACGTCTCAATTCTGCCACATACTAACTGCATGACTACAGGCAAGGCAGGTAACCTGAGGTAATTGCTTCAGTTTTTCTTATCTATAAAACAGAGATAGGCTGGGTGCAGTGGCTCAAGCCTGTAATCCCAGCACTTTGGGAGGCGAGGCAAGAGGATTGCCTGAGCCCACAGCTTCAAGACCAACCTGGGCAACATGGCGAGACTTGTCTCTGCAGTAAATCAAACTAGCCGGGCGTGGTGGCATGTGCCTGTAGTTTCGCCTACTTGGAAGGCTGAGGCAAAAGGATTGCTAGAGCCCAGCAGGTCTACACTGGGGTGGCTGTGTGTGTGCCACTGCACTCCAGCCTGGGCTACGGAGTGAGAATCCAACTCAAACAAAACAAAACCAAACAAAAACAAAAAACCCAGGGATAATAATAGTACCTACCTTTTAGGGTTATTATGAGAATAAAATGAGATAATATTTGTAAGGTCACCGTCACACAAAAACAAATGCCTAGAGTTTAGTAACTGCTGTACTTAAGTAAAATAAAAATATTTGAGCCTATCACATGTGCTATAAGAAAATTCTACCTACATGGGCTCTTGTAGAACAAATCTCTCTTGAATGTTTGAAATCCCTAAGTTTTCCCAGTTGGAATTTGGAATTTGGATTTACACAATCTACATAATGGAGAAAATAAAAGTTAAAGAATTTATATAAATGTCAATATCAAGTTTCAACGAAGGTGTGGAATAATTGGAACCCTCATACACTGCTGGTGGGTTTTTAAAATAGTGTGGCCACTGTGAAAGTTCTTTGAAATATTAAACATGGATTTCCATAAGATCTAGCAGTTCTGCTCCTGGGTATATATCCAAGATAATTGATTACATATGTTCACACAAAAACAAAGTTTAAAAAATTTAGATATAAAATACTGTATTTAAAAGTTACTTGGATTAGTTTACTTCCCCCTTCATTATATGCTGTTATTTCTAAGAAATACAGTTAGGTTCATTTGTTTATTTTTATAATTCATTTTAGGAATTTTTTCTCATTCTTGTTGACTTCAATTTTATTACGTGTTTGAGTACATAAACAATTAATAACTCCAAAATTCAATCCTGTACAAAAAGGTCTACTCAGAGAAATGTCACTATACTCAACCATTTCATCCCATTTCCATGGTCCCAACTATTACCTTTTTAAAATCAAAATTGTAATTTTGAGATAAGTGTAGATTCACATGCAATTATAAGAAATAATAGAGATATCATGTACCCTTTACCAAGTTACCCCAATGGTGACATTTTGAAAACCTATAGAACAATATCACAACCTATATATTGACATTAATACAATCAAGATACAGAACATTTCCACCACCACTAGGATCCCCATGTTTCCCTTTTATAGCTATATTCACTTCCCGCCCATACCTACTCCCTCTATAACCCTTGGGAACCACTAATTTGTTCTCCATTTCTGTAATTATATCACTTCAAAAATTTTATATAAGAGAAATCATATAATGTGTACCTTTGAGAGTGGCTTTTTTCACTCAACATAATTCTCTGGAGATTCAGATTGTTGTGTTTATCAGTAGTTTGCTCTTTTTTTTTTAACTGCTGAGAAGTATTTCATGATATGAATGTACCACAGCTTGTCTAATCATTTACCTTTTAAGGACATCTCAGTTATTTCCTGTTTGGGGCTCAAATGTTAAAACTACTATAAACATGCATGTACTTGTGTTTGTGTGAATAGACATTTTCATTTCTCTGAAATAAATACCCAGGAGTACAATTGCTGTGTCATGTAGTAGTTGCTTATTTATTTGTTGTTACTGTTTTAGGAAACTGCCAAACTGTTTTCTAGAATGACTGCACTATTTTATATTCCCACAAGTATTACGTTAAAAAAATGAACTGCAAAAACTGAAACCAATTTTTAAATATGAGAGTGTAAAAAAGAAAATATAAGCTATAACTCCACCCAGAAATAACCATAAGTTATTTTGTCTATATGTTTTCTGACTTCCCATGAATTTAAAAAAAATGTGTAGATCTTTATCTAGATTTTATGTTACTTTTGGACAGGCATGTTTCATAATTCTTTTTTTTTTTTTAGATTAGAAAATATAGTTTATTTAAAAATAAATTAGAGAGAGGGAGAGAGATTCACCTCCCCAAGGTGGGGGAGGAGGCCAAAGCCAGGAAGCATGATAACAGCCATAGCTCAAAGAGCACATGGCCACACCAGAGTCTAGCAAGGCAATGGCCTGTTTCACAATTCTTTGTCTCTTACATTTCCCTCCTTAGCATAGAGCCCCACATTAATAGGGATCTAGATTTTTTTAAAATTAACAGATTGTTTTCGTGGGGTAGAATAAGAAATTTAGGATTTTGAAAATAGAGAAATGATATAAACCACTTTTCACTTTCTCATACAATTATACTTTATTTTTTACAACTTTATTTTGAAGTACTTAAGATTCACAAGAAGTTGTGAACAGAAAAATATGTACAAAGATATTTTATGAACCTTTACTGTATTTCTCCATTGTTAACATCATGTCTATAGTGCAATATCACAACCAGGAAACTGACATTGGCACAATCCATAAAGCCTATTCAGATCAGATTTCACCAATTTTACATGAACTCATGTGTGTATCTGTGTTTCATATGTTTTTAATAGTGAATACTTTCATAAAGTAAAAAGTGTGTATATTATTTTATGTTACTTATATTTTCTTAGTTTTGTTTGACAATATATTTTCCTGTCTTTTAACCTTTTAGTAACAAATCCAAAATTTTGGAAAAGCGCCTACGATATTTAAATGACCACTTCACATACAATTTATATTGTAATATATGCCGATCACTATTTGAGAACGACAAGCTGTTATTTTCCTTTTTATTATGTGCCAATCTTCTTCTGTAAGTTACTTGCTTTTTCTTAGTTTACTATTTTTAAAACTCACTTGGAATCTAATCTGTAAATATGACTTCTCACAGAAAGATATAATATTGTGCTTTGCTTAGTTCATTATTTTACTTGTGCATTTCGTGGATAACAATGGCTTCTACAGTAGTATTGGTGTTTTGATGTTTATTTGATTTTTAAAATTTACATAATGCAGAATAGTTCACAAAATATTAATGTACAGTTCAATAAATTCTTACAAAGAGAAAATCTGGCCAAGAAATAGAACATTCCCATCATTCCTGAAGCACTTCTTCTTGTACTCCTCTCATGGTCTGCCTGCTTTCTCCCCAACTACTATTCTCATTTCTAACATTGCAGTTTGAATTTTATATAAATGAAAGGCAAGTACTATGAATTCCTTTATCTGACTTCTTTTCCTCAACATTGTTTTTATGATTCATTCATGCTGTTTCATGAGGCTATAGTTTATTTGCTGTGATTGTATTATAGTATAGTAGTTCATTGTTCAGCTTGTTTCTTATTGTGAGAATGGGAGTGATGATTTCAAATTCCTTACATTATCTTTCACAGAGACTTAAATAATAAACAAAAAGTCTTTTACGTTTACTCACATAGTTACCATTCTGATGCTCTTTATTCTTCTGTGTGATCCAGAGTTCCATCTGTCTGAAACTTCTTTGAACACTTCTTGTAGTGTAGGTCTGCTTCTACTCATCTGAAAAATAAATCAGTATACTTTTATTTCAGTTTTTGTATTTTTTATCTTTAGAATTTGCATTTGATCTCTTTAATATTGCCAATTTCTTCATTATGTTCATATTTTGCCTTAACCCCTTCATCATGTTTATAACTACTCTAACATTCTTGTCTCCTAATTAAATTCTTTCCTTTCTATGTCTATATCTATGGTCAATTTTTCTCCTGGTTATGGATATTATGAATTTTATAGTGGCAAAATTTGGTATCTCTTTAAAGAGTTTTAGGTTTTACTTTTCCAGGTAGTTAAATTACTACTGGATTAGTTTTATCTTTTCAAAAATTGTGCCAGGTGCAGTGCTTGTGCCTATAATCCAGCTACTCAGGAGGTTGAGGGGGGAGGATCACCTGAGCCCAGGAGTTCAAGGGTACAGTGAGCAATGATCTCTCCACTGTACTCCAGCCTCAGTAACAGAGCAAGACACTGTCTTAAAAAGAAAATTTCTGTTTAAGCTTTCTTATAGCAGTTTTAGAGTCTTAACTCTAAAGCTATGTTAGCTTCATTACTAAGATGATTCCTCTCATGTCACCACTGAATTCTTCTAGTGATGAACAAAGATTCAACTCTAGCAAGAACTTATATTTCCCAGTCCTATGTGATCTCTGGGAGCTATTCAGGTAACATGTTACCTGACCTCTTAGAGTTTTACCCTACTAACTCATACCTCAGTACAGCCATTTGCTATATAATGTTTCAGTCAGTGATGAACCATATATGTAACAGTGGTTCCATAAGATTATAATATTATATTTTTACTGTTCCTTTTCTATATTTAGATACACAGATACTTACCATTGTGTTAGAATTGCCTACAGTATTAAGGACAATAACATGCTATACAGGTTTGAAGCCTAGGAGCAACAGGTTATACCATATAGCCTAAGTGTATAGCTTGCTATACTATCTTGTTTGTATAAACATACTTTATGATGTTTGTACAATGATGAAATCACCTAATGATGCATTTCTTAGAACATAGTCCCGTCAGTGTTTATCAGTAGAATCAAGAAAACACTTTACGCAGATTTTTGGAGCTCCTTTGCCATTCATTTCTTTCCTCTGACATTCTTCCCACAAATTCCAGTCATTTCTCAGCTTTCCTTATTCTAATCTCTGTCTCTTCAACTCAGCAATACTGCCAAGCTTGGATTTTGATCCCCACCCTACTCTGTAGCCTGGAAAGTGCCTCTAGGCACCTCCAGTGGAGCCATAGGGGTCACCTTATTCATCTCTCTTCTCTCTCAAGAGCCACAGGCCTGTGCTGGCTGTTGTATAATTTCCAAAAACAGTTGTTTCATTAATTTAGTCCAGTTTTCTAATTGTTTACAGTAAGAGGATAAGAACAGTCCTGGTTATTACATCCAGGCTATAAAAGCAGAAGTTGACATCATTCCATTTTTAAATCAACAGTTTTACATCAGTCCTTATTTTGGGCATACAGGGCAAGGAAAGAGATTGACTACCAGGAACTGATGTTTCTTTTAACTGGAGGAGTAAGTCTTAAGAGTGCTGAGAAAAATCCTGATCCAACTTGGCTACAGGATAAAAGCTGGGAGGAAATTTGTCGTGCAAGTGAATTTCCTGCCTTCAGAGGACTCAGGTAATTGTTTAAATTTGATGGTTTAGCATTGAATAATGATAGATACATTTGTTCTATAATCTAGTGATTTTTAAATGGTCGTACAGCTGTCTCATTTCTTTCCCTTGTTCACCAATCTCTTTTTAATTTTTTTTTTCAGTGAAAGGAATAATTATTAAACTTTTTTCCATTAGGGAGCATTTTTGTGAGCATATACTTGAATGGCGGGAAATTTATGACAGTAAAGAGCCACATAATGCTAAATTTCCAGCACCAATGGATAATAAGCTGAATGAACTACAGAAAATAATAATTCTTCGGTGCTTAAGACCTGATAAGGTAAAAGACCAACATGTTCTATTTGGATAAAATTTGCCATTTATGAAGTACCAGGTTTAAAAGTATTGTTAGCTGATTTTTTAATTCTCACACCAAATACTCAAAGCAGTTGATATCCTGCCTTGGGTTCATTGATCTCCTTGGATCTGCTAGTTTTTTGTTTTCCTCAATTTGAGAATATTTTTGGTCATTATTTCTTCAAATATTTTGCCATCCCACCCAGGATTCCAATTATATACATGTTAGATTATTTAATGTTATGCCATAGGTAACTGATAGGCATTCTGTTAATTATTGTTTAATCTTTTGTATATTTATCTTTTAGTTTCTTTTACTATCTTTACATTTGCTGATTTCTTCTTTTGTAGTGTCTAATCTGCTATTAATCCCATCCAATTAATTTTTTATTTCAGCAATTTTGTATTTCATCTCTGGAAATGCTATTTGGTTCTTTTTGTATATTCTAGTTCTCTTCTTACTCGACTCATATTTTCTTGTAAATACTTGAACACAGTTATAATAACTTTTAAAATTCTTGACTGTTAATTCCATCATTTTTGGATTTGTTCCTTTTTACGGATTTTACTCTTGGTTATGGATGATTTTTTTCCTGCTTCTTGGCATGTCAAGTAATGTTTGGATGTTGGACATTGTGGATGTTACATTGTGGATGGGTTGGATTTTGTTATTTTCTTACAAAGTTTATTGAGTTTTGTCCTGCTAGTTCAGGGGTCAACAAAAATCACCTGTGGGTCAATCCAGCCCATGGCCTCTTTTTTTCTAGCCTATGAACTAAAAATTTTTTTTTGTATTTTTAAAGTGTTGTTTAAAAATAAGAAGAATATGCAGCAGAAACTGTACGTGTCCCACAAAGCCTAAAATATTTACTATCTGGTCCTCTATAGAAAATGTGTCATTCCCTGTGACTATGTAATTAAGTTACTTAGATTTAAATTGTTCCTTTCAAAGTTGTTTTAAAAGATTTGTTAGGGCTGGTCTAGAGTAACCTTTATTCAATGCATAGTTTAGCCCTACTACTAAAGTGTCACCCTTCTGGAATCTTTACCAAATGCCCAAGTGATCACCACGGACTTCCTACTGTGGCTATTGAGAAGTTCAATGACTACCAGTCTTGCATGAACTCTGATAGCACCCCAGACTCCTAACTCTAAGCCCCTCCATAGCTCTTTGCTTGACCTCATACATACACACCATAGTATTCAGCAAAGATCTAAAGGTTCTGTTATGCAGATTTCTGGATACTCTCTCTTAGTTGAAGCTGCAACTTTAGCAGGCTTAGCCTCTTTGGATTCTTTTTCTTGTCTTCCCAGCTCAGCATCACTGTGTTGCTCTGCTTTCAATCACTCTCCCTGTTCTGTAGTTTAGAACATACTTCCAAGGAGAAAGCTAAGAGAATAACAGGGTTCACTTTTTCTTTTTCTCATGGATCACAGTCCTACACCACCTATATTGCCCAATGTCTGAAAATGATTGCTTCATTATTTTTGCCCATTGTTTAGTTGTTTATGGTAGGAGTGTAAATCCATTTTCTGTAACTACATTATGGCTAAAAACAGAAAATGGTAGAAGTCTTGTACATGTCACAAGTTTATTAGTTCAAGTATGTACAAATATTTTTCTACAGGTGAGATAAATAGGCTGATACCAATGTTCACACATTTAAGAAAGGTGATTATGGTGTAACAAAAGGAAACATTTTAAATAGAAAAAAAAACCTATGTTCATACTTTGAGTAATATTAAAGAAAAAATTATCTATGATAAATGCTAAAATAGTAAGAAAGACCTTGCTCACAGCTATCACAATAGGAGAGAGAGATGAAGCTCAACTTCTAATACAGGAGGGACATTTGGGGATTTATAGTCAAAGAATAGGTTGTGGGGAAATTACCAAGAAGAGACATCAAAGACAGGGGGAATTCTTGCTCACCAGACCAGCAGAATTCTTGCTGAAAGCAAGCCAAGGTGATCAGATATCCCCTGGGTGATAGTGGTGGATGAGGAATTTGATCAGATATGGAGGGCGATCAGATGTAGAGAGTAGGAGATTCTCAATAAACTGACTTCAGGAGGATTCTTGCTATAACTGGGCTCTTGAGGACAAGGTCAAGTAGAAAACAATGCTCAGAGGAGCCTAACCTAACGTTTGTTCAAGGAAATAATCTTCATCAGTAAGTAAGTTACACCACATATGATAAGAAGGTGTTGAAAGTGATTGTAGTAGCCCCCTCCTTCCTTTTTCTGAACTCCTTCCTTCTTTCCTTCCTTCCTTTCTTTTTTTTTCTTTTAACATTTTGTGTTTTTAGTAAAGTCTCACAAGAAGCATTATCTCATTCTCTTTGAGTAGATTCAAACAGAGGTCTACATAATTACTTTACTCCTGAGTATTTCTCCTTACTTTAACTTCCAAAGACCGTTGTACATTGTTAAAAACTTACCTAATTCTTCCCTCCATGATAGTTGTGTTATATGTGTGTGAAATCATTATATGTGTGTGAAATCACCTGTATTAACTAAAATTAAAATTAGCATAGGGCCACGGGGTAAAAACTGTAGAAGAGACCTGAGCCCTACAAAGGTGCAACTATGATTAAGAAATGAACAAATATGTTGTTTTTAAGTTTGTTTTCACTTCAACAGAGAGTAATTGATTATCTTCATGTCCTGAGCCCTGGGGAGGGAGAGGCTGCCTGCAAAATATAAGCATATTTTTCCTTAAACCATTAGCATAAAGTTGCACAGGTCTCTTTGATGACATCCTCAGGTTTGATCGACTGAGTTGAAGGGCATGAGCAACTCTAATCTCCAGGGATCCCACCTCCCATATACCTCTATAATGGCTTACTGCCTAGGGTCCAGTAGCCGTTGGTTACAGGACTTGCTCTATAGATAGCCTCTGTTATAAAACCTAAGAATAGTGTTTGAGATGTTTTTCAGACTTTATACTCTGACGGACCCAAGGCCCCACCTGGACCCAGGACACATACTATGAAGCTGACTCCCTCCCAGAAAATTGTTCTGCACACAAAGACAGTTTTGACATTCCCTCATGACGTCATCCCCAACCAATCAGTGTGCCCGTTCTCTAGCCCCCTGCCCATGAAAATATTCCTTAAAAAAATCCTTGCCTAAGACTCTCAGGGAGGCAGATCTGAGAATTGTCTCCTGTCCTCTTTGCTCAGCTGCTTTGCAATATTAAACTCTTTCTCTACTGTAACAGCTGTGTCTGTCTGAGTTTCTCTGGGTAGTGGGCATAAGAACCCAGTCAGGTTGTAAAATGTATGTATCACTAGACATAAGTCCCTTGAAGCCTAAAACAATGCTTTAGTCATTGTTTTATTACAATAGCCTCCCTTGTTCATGGTAAACTGTCGGAATGAATAGCTTTGCATCTGGGAAACACCTGCCTATTTGCACTTCACAGAATGACTTCCTAATGGGCAATAGCAATGTTCCAATACCTCATGTGGGTTTATTGCTTTATCTGACATGCTTGGAAACATGTTTTTACACACAGTAGTACTTATCCATTAGAATATACAATAATTGTCTGTTTATTTGTTAAGGTTTCCCTCTAGACTGTGAGATTCTTCAGGTTGAGACCCATGCTCTGTATCTCTAGGACTTAGGGCCTGGCAGGTGGTAGAAGCCTAATAAACATCTATGTATTAAGTTGAATTGAATGAACTAAATAGAGTTAAAGCCTATATTATTCAGGGTTCTCCAGAGAAATAGAAAAAAAGGGAGAAGAACAGATTGATTGATTTAAAGGAATTGGCTGAGATGCTTATGGAGGCTGGCAAGTCTGCTTGGTAAACTGGTTGACTAGAGATCCAGGGAAGAGTTGATGTTACAGTTCAAGTCCAAAGGCAGTTTGCTGGCAAAAAATCCCTCTTTCTCAAGGGAAATTAGGCTTTTTTCCTCTCTCTCTTTTAAGGCCTTCAACTGATTGGATGAGACACTCCTGCATTATGGAGTGCAATCTGCTTTACTCAAAGTCTACTGATTTAAATATTAAACTCATCTAAAAATACCTTCACAGCAATGTGTAAACCAATATTTGATCAAATATCTGGGTATCATAACCTTACAGGTCATCTTTGGCTTATTTACCTAACAATTTGCCCATCTTTCTTTTGGATTGTTAGTTTCATACTATCAATTTATATACACTTTTTTGTATCTCAGGGAAATTATTGCTTTGTCTGTGTTCCTGTATGCTTTTCTTGACCATCAGACTCAAATTTTATTCTTTGTTGTTTCTAAATAACAATCAAAGCTGTTATGTGAAGCAAAAATTCTCTAAAGATCATATCTTCTCTCTTCAACAGATAACCCCAGCTATAACCAATTATGTAACTGACAAACTAGGGAAAAAGTTTGTAGAGCCTCCACCATTTGATTTGGCTAAGAGTTACTTGGATTCAAATTGTACCAGTCCCTTAATTTTTGTGCTATCTCCAGGAGCAGATCCTATGGCCAGTAAGTGCACATACTGTAAACTCTTAAGAAATTATAAATTAAGCATTTTACTCAATACCCATTTCTTACAGTATTATAAATCGGTTAGAATATCTAGTATTTATAGGAAAAGGTAACTAGAATTTTTCATGATAAAACACCTATTTGTAAGGCATATTTTATAATTCTAGAGTAAATAGTGTGACCATTTTTTATACCCCTCATAGGCCTGCTGAAATTTGCAAATGATAAATCTATGTCTGGAAATAAGTTTCAAGCTATTTCACTGGGACAGGGACAAGGACCAATTGCAGCAAAAATGATAAAAGCAGCAGTAGAAGAAGGAACTTGGGTTTGCCTACAGAATTGTCACCTTGCAGTGTCTTGGATGCCTACATTGGAAAAAATATGTGAAGATTTAACTTCTGAAATCTGTAACTCATCATTTAGGCTTTGGCTCACAAGCTATCCATCCCCAAAAGTACGTTTATTTCCTATAGTGTTCAGTACATTTATTTAGCTATTGTATATTTTAATCAAGCTTTAGATCAGGGATGACTAACCTGTTGGCTTCCCTGAGCTGCATCAAGTAAAGTGGAATTGTCTTGGGCCGCACATAAATTATATAACATAGTGTACATATATAATAAGACTTTTTTTTTTGAGTTGGAGTCTCACTCTGTCGCCCAGACTGGAGTGCAGTGGCCGCTCCCAGCCACCACAGCCTCGCCTGCCGGACTCCAGCAATTCTTTCGCCTCAGCCTTCCAAGTAGCTGAAACTACAGGCGCATGTTACCACACCCGTCTAATTTTTTGATTTATTGTAGAGATGAGGTCTCGCCAAGTTGCCCAGGAGGATCTTGAACCCGCGGGCTCAGGCAATCCACTCACCTCAGCCTCTCAAAGCGCTGGGATTACAGGCTGAGCCACCGAGCCTGGCCAAGACTTTTATTCTTTATATTTTTGTTATAACATTTAGAAAAATGAGAACAATATAAGGGTAGTGGAAAACTTGACCTTTTTGTAAAACTAATCTATCAATTTCTGGTTCAATGGAAGTGGTCACAATTCTTAGTGAGTTCTCAAGGTGCTTGTCAGAAATGTTTGTTCAAATCTTGCTCTTTGTGTGCTTCATAACTGAAAACCTCTGCTCACAGATGTACGTGCTGCCGGAAAGCGATATCATGAATAAAGCGTGATTGTAAACTTCAAAAACAGAACTACACATAGGTTCACAAAGAAAATAGATGCTAAAAAACACATGATGTTAAAAAATTTTGTGGGATCACATTACTAGCTGACCCGGGCCACATGCATGCCTGCTTTAGATGTGTAACCTCAAGAGGTTTTACAGATATTTGTGGAACCCTCCATTATACCTATTTTTTAATCCACTAGTGTGTATGCATTTTTTTATGGCCTGAACTTGCTATCTTGTGTAATGTTCTCCATTTATTTTGTCTTAGTTCCCAGTAACAATTCTACAGAATGGAGTAAAAATGACTAATGAACCTCCCACAGGTCTTCGGCTAAATCTCCTCCAGTCATACCTCACTGATCCAATTTCTGATCCTGGGTTTTTCAAGGGATGCCAGGGAAAAGAACTGGTAATATTCACCTTTTGAAACTTTTAAAATATGTTTTATAGTGATAAAATATGGAAATGCAAAATTTTTGTTTAATAATGTTTTTATAAAAATTGTATTTAACAATTTTTTAAAACTTTAAGCATCTTTTAATTTTAGATTGGGGGTGCACATACATGTTCATTACATGGATGTATTGTGCAGTGGGGGGGACTGGGTCTCAGGTGGTTCATTCCCCACATAGTGAATATTGTGCCCCAAAAGTAGTTTCTGAACCTTAATCCCCTCCTTGCTTCCCCCTTATTGGTGTCCCCAATGTCTATTATTCCCATCTTTGTAGCCATTTAGCTCCTGCATATAAGTGAGAACATGCAGTGTTTAGTTTTGGGTTTCTGAGTCCTTTCGCTTAGAATGATCTCCAGCTTCATCCATGGTGCTGCAAAGAACATGATTTCATTCTTTTTTATGGCTGCATAGTATTCCGTGGTGTACATACCACATTTTCTTTATCCAGTCAGTTGTTGATGGGCACTTAGGTTGGCTCTGTGATCTTGCTATTGTGAAAAGTGCTGCAATGAACATAGACTATAGGTATCTTTTTTTGTATATTGATTTCTTTTCCTTTGGGTAGATCCTTTCTAGTGACTTTGTTGGGTCAAATGGTAATTCAATTTTTAGTTATTTGAGAAATCTCCATACTGTATTCCGTAGAGGTTGAACCAGTTTACAACCCCACCAACAGTGGATGAGTGTTCTCTTTTCTCTACAACTGTGCCAACATCTGTTGTTCTTTCATTTGCTATTAATGGCCATTCTGACTTGTGTGAGGTGATATCTCATTGTGATTTTAATTTGCATTTCTCTGATATTTAGTGATATTGAGCATTTTTTCTTATGTTTATTGACTGTGTGTCTTCTTTTGAGAAGCATCTATTCGTGCCTTTTACCCAGTTTTTGATGTGGCTTTTTGTTTTTTTATGTGTGGAGTTGTTTAAATTCCTTGTAGATTCTTTGTGTTAGGTCTTTGAGGCATAGTTTACAAATATTTTCTCCCATTCAGTAGATTTTCTGTTTGATTGTTAGGTGATTATTTCTGTTGCTATGTAGAATCTTTTTAACTTAAGTCCCATTTGTCTATTTTAGTTTTTGTTGCAATTGTTTTTAGGGTTTTTATATTAATTATTTGCCTAGGCCAATGTCTAGCAGGATGTTTCCTAGGTTTTCTTCTAATTTTTATAGTTTCAGGTCTTACATTTAAGTCTTTGATCCATCGTGAGTTAATTTTTGTATAAAGTAAGAGATAGGGGTCCAGTTTCATTCCTCTGCATATGGCTAGCCAGTTTTCCCAGCATCATTTATTAAATAGGGTGTCATTTCCCTGTTGTTTATTTTTGTTGGCTTTTCAAAGATCAGTTGGTTGTAGGAATGTGGTTTTATTTCTGGGTTCTCTGTTCTGTTCCATTGGTCAATCTGTCTATTCTTGTACCAGTACCATGCTGTTTTAGTTACTATAACCTTATAATATAATTTGAAGTCAGGCAGTGTGATGCCTCCACAATTGTACTTTTAATTAGAATTGCTTTGGCTATTAAGGCTCTTTTTTGATTCCATATAAACGTGAGGATTATTTTTTCTAGTTCTGTGAAGAACAAAGTGGGTATTTTGATTGAGATTGCATTGAATCTGTAGATTGCTTTCAGCAGTATGATCATTTTAACAATAATGATTCTTCCAATCCATGAACATGGTAAACTTTAAGCATTTTTTAACACGACAGAAATTGTACCTATCTCATTCATCATTTTATTCCCAATAGTTTGTGTTCTGCTTCCCACATAGTAGACATTGAAGTAAGTATTTGTTGAATGAATGACTGTATTGCAGTTTGTAAACCAAAGCTCAACAGTGGTTTTGATTTAGACGTGAGAATATAAATCTATTTTCACATCATTTATTTATTCTTTTAACAAATATGTGTGCTAGGCCCTCTTCTAGGTAGTAGATATAAAGTAATGAGAATAAAATAGATGCACCAGAGAAATCTGCCTTCATGGAACTTAAATTCTAGTAAAAATGGTTAGTCTGCTATTAATGCTTTTCAGTGTATTCATCAAAACTGTTTTGTACCAGAGTACTGGGGACTTTAGGGGACCCAATAAATAATACTTATTTCCCTGCCTGAATGCTTACCTATTGAGAAACAGGTAGAAATATAAACATGTGGGAACCAAATTATAAGCTTAATTATTGATATAGACTAAGTTGGAAGGTATAGCTTATATCTGTGAACAAATGAGTTTCATATTACTGAATCCTAGAATCAATCAGATTTATCCACCCAGAGGAACAAAGGAAAACTCAATTTCCTGCAAGACATTCACTCTGAGAGAGAAAGGGGAAGCTGGATTAAACATATCTGATAAATTTTCTTCAAATTTACTAATCAGATAACTCACTCCCTTCTCCAGCAGTGAGTACAAGGATGGAGAAAAGTCGTTAATTAATGTAAAATACATTAGTTGAGGTCTCTCCACATGAGAGGAAACAGAACTGGGGAAGAATCACCCCTCTCCCTTTACCCTGCATATATTATTTAGCATATTTGTCTATTTGAACTAGAAAAAGAGTGATATTGAAGGTAAAATAAAGGACTAAATTCTTCGAAAGTCAGCTAATTTCCCTCTACTTAGTGATACTTTCTGTATGTCCCTAGTTCTGTGCAATAATTTTGTTTGGTAACTCTGGAAAAGAGAGAGGATATTTTGTGGTTTTAGCAAGAAGGAGGTTAGTAGAATGGAGAAGGTAGTATGATGTCTGATCCCCATTAAGAGTTTTAGCTTCTGCAATTAGAGGAGACAGGGCCAGAAACAGGGAAAGGAAACTTCGAAAGATTCTGAGTATAAGCAGAGCTAATTTGGGACACACTGACTCAAAAATTGTGCTGAGTTGGAGAAGAAGCACTCTCACTCTTGTATTGCAACACTGAGTGAGCAATGTTGGTACCCTAAGTATTGGGGTTTGTGGGACATTCTAAGTTAGCACCCTTGCCATGTATCGTCATTTTTATGATGAACAGTGACAATGAGTAAGGTTTCACCAAGCAACTTCTCTGGTAGTATAAACAAATGGAAGCTGGGGTAGGTGAAGTAAGAGTATAAATGCCCTATCACATGGGTTCTCAGTGTACTACATCAGGTTCCCCTGAAGAGCTTGTTCAAATGAATGCCCTTTGATAAGGCTAATTTCTGACAATTAGGTCATCAATAATTTGAACTATCTTCCTTTGGCCATTAAAAGTAAATATAATTTTTATAGTCACAGTTTATTGATATCTTGGAATCTGAATTACCTAGCAAAATGACAAGATACTAGTTTTTTTTAATATATATTTGTCTCCTATACTCAGGTGAATTCTTCTTAAAGGCAGGGACACATTTCTATATCCCCATTCATTCAATAAATATTTATTGAACAACTACTAGGCACAAGACACTCTTCTAGGAACTGATGATATGATAATGAACATATATATAAAAATCCCTGTCTTCATGGAGTTTATATTCTAGTCGAAGGAAAGCTGTGGAAGACAGGTTCAACCATAATCCCCATAAGCCTGAGAAGGCTATTAAAGCTACAGGGGTCAGTACTCCACTCCTGGGATTCTGATTTGCAAAATTTGAAGTAAGGCTCAAGAACTGGTATAAATATAGCACATTATAAGCCACAACTAAGTAAAGTTTATCCCTGGGTTGCAAAAATGATTCAGCTTACAAAAATAAATTAATACGGTACACATTAACAGAATGAAGGTTAAAAATCATAGGATCATCTCAATAGATACAGAAAGAGCATTTGACAAAATTCAATATTTGTTCATAATAAAAACTCTCAACAAACTAGGAATAGAACAAAATTACTTCAACATAATAAAAGCCAATATGAAAAGCCCACGACTTATATTATACTCAGCTGTGGAAAACTGAAAACTTTTCCCTAAGACAGAAACAAGGCAAGGATGCTCACTCCTTAGAGCTAATCAATGAATTCAGTAAAGTTGCAAGACATAAAATTAATATACAAAAATCAGTTGCATTTTTAGACACTAATAACAAACCATCTGAAGAGGAAATTAGGGAAACAATCCCATTTACAATAGTACCAAAATCAATAAAATACTTAGGAATAAATTTCTAGGAAATGAAAGACTTGTACACTGAAACCTACAAAATATTGATGAAAGAAATTAAAGAAGACGCAAACATGGAAAGATATCCTATGTTTGTGGACTGGAAGACTTAAAATTGTTAAAATATCCAAACTACTCAAAATGATCTACAGATTTAACTTAGCAATCCCTATCACAATCCCACTGACTTTTTTTTTTTAAAGAAATAGAAAAAAACAATTCTAAACTTCATAAGGAACCACACAAAAAATTTTTGAATAGCCAAATTAGTGTTGAGAAAAAACAAAGCTAGAGACATCATACCTCCTGATTTCAAAATATATGCATATTACAAAGAAATCACCCCACACATATGAGGTCAACTAATCCTCAACAAGGGTGCCAAGAATATATAATTGGGAAAGTATAGTCTTTTCGACAAATTGTGTTGAGAAAACTGGATATCCACAATGCAAAAGAATGGAACTGAATCCTTACCTTACACCATACACAAAAATCAACTCAAAATGGATTAAAGACTGAAATGTAAGACCTGAAACTGTAAAACTCCTAGGAGAAAACATAGGGGAAAGATTCATGACACTGGTCTTGGCAGTAATTTCATGAATTTGACATCAAAAGCATAAGCAACAAAAGCAAAAGTAGACAAGTGGGATGAAATCAAACTAAAAAGCTTCTGCATAGCAAAGGAAACCATTGACAGAGTGAAAAGGTGACCTATGGAATGGGAGAAATTATTTGCAAATCATTTATCAGATAAGGAACTAATTTCCAAATATATAAGGAATACCTACAATACAATAGGAAAACAAACCAATAACTTGATTTTAAAATGGGCTAAAGAATTGAATAGACATTTCTCCAAAAAAGACATATAAATGGTCAACAGATATATGAAAAAATGCTCAATGTCACTGTCAGCAGGGAAATGCAAATCAAAATCACAATGAGGTACCATGTCACACCTTCTAGGTGTGAGATCCACCCACATAAATCCACCTTCCCCCACTCTTTCTCTCAAGATCTGCTTTTAGAGAACCCCAACCTAAATAAAGTCCAAAGATAGATGTATTTATTCCATTTTCTAAAACTTCAAGGATGGCCCTGCCTTAAGAAAACCCATTGTAGAAAATATAGGTACATTAGGTAGTTGCTGTCATTGCAAAAAACTTCTTGCCCTATTAAATGTTTTAACACAGTATTCATCTAGCATATTTTAAAAATACTTTGATTTATTTACGTTCCAAGAATACCTCTATTCAGTAAAGCATACTGTACTTGCATTTTAATATTAAATAATTTCTGTTATTGCGTCACATAAAAATAGTAGATGAACTTTCACTGGATTTTTAGCTGTGTTTGCGATGGTCTAACTTAAAATACATGTTGTGTATCATATTTGAAATTTACTTGGGAAAACCTTAAAGAGATAGGCATCCATCCTCCAGAGTACTAAAACACGTTTAGTGAGAGGTCCAGGCTACATACACATCACACACGTGTGGATGCCACAAATAGTTCAAATAAACAATGATTTTTAGAATGATTTCTAAATAAATTGGGATTTATTTATATCATAATGATTAATCATTCCCCTGCACTTATAGTCTCAAGCTTATGCAAGCAAGTTTACAGAATAACATTTGAGTATTGAAGTTGTAAATATCCACAGGTAATAGCAAGGTATTATTAGCCAATACTTTGGTAAAATAGGAACGTGTTTGCACTTTAATAAAGCTTTATATTACTGTGGTTTGTCCAGCTTTGGATACTTGAATTAAGTCATGGAATGAATACTTTTTATAGTAAATATCATTTCAGATAGCATTAAAAAAATAAAATAGATGTTTGGGCCAGGCACAGTGACATGCCTGTAATCCCAGCACTTTGGGAGGCGGAGGCAAGAGGATTGCCTGAGCCCAGGAATTTGAGACCAGCCTGGACAACTTGGCAAGACCTTGTCTTTACAATAAAAATTTTAAAATTAGCTGGACATAGTGACATGCACCTGTAATTCTGGTTACTTGGAAGGCTAGGGGGGAAGGATTGCCTGAACCCAGTAAATTGAGGCTGCTGTGGCTGTGAGCTTGCCACTGCACTCCAGCCTGGGCAATAGAGTGAAACTCTGACTCAAAATAATAATAATAATAATATAATTAATAAAATAAAAATAGATGTTTATAGAGATATGTAATCATAGAGTCTTATAATAAAAAGATCACTCATCTATTCCCCTCATTTTACTAATGAAAATCTGATGAAAGTTTTTCTTATTGTGTACTTTTTATATTAAAGGCCTGGGAGAAATTGCTGTTTGGAGTTTGTTTTTTTCATGCCCTTGTGCAAGAGAGGAAGAAATTTGGTCCTCTTGGTTGGAATATTCCATATGGATTTAATGAATCAGACTTGCGCATTAGCATTCGACAACTACAGGTAAAATTAGAAAGAAATTAACATTTATGAAGGATCACTATTTACCAGACTCTAGGCAAGTTCTTTTGCTTGGAATAACTGGTTCAGTTCTCCCAACACCACCAGTAGGTGAGTAGATAGTAATAACTATGGTTTATGAAGCACTATCTTTGCCTGGATTCTTTCTGCTGCAAGTAATGGAAAATCTGATTATCTCACATAAAAAAGAGGTGCAGAGAAAGGACAAGCTCTGGGGTTTGTTGATTCAGCAACACAACAGTGTTGTCATCAAGTACCCTGGTTCGTTCTTTTTGCAGTGCCATCCTCAGTGCTGACTTTAAATATGTCCTCACCATTTTCTATATTCCTCCTCCGCTCAGTCAATTCTACAGTTTATCTATGTCAATTAACAGAAACAGCCTGTCTAAGCAGAAAAGTAATTTATTGAAAGGTTTATATGAAAGCTCAATCACCAAGACAGCTGCAGAGCCAGGCTTCAGAATTATATTCAGAGTCATGCCATGTCTGATAAGAACAGAATCTCTACCTGTGTTGAATATTAGAATCACAGCTTGCATTTAACTGCCCCATACATTCTAGTCTACTGCAGGCCCTCTGATGTCATGACCACATTCAAAGAGATGCTTTGTTGTTCCTGCTTCTTTGTACCCAAATCCCCCCCAGTTAGTCTAAGGTGGATGCATCTGAAGTGCCACGCCCAGGTGACAGGCATAGACTTTAGCTCTAAGAGAGCTTGGGGAAGTGAGTAGTTGGCTTTTCACACAACCACAAAATATTAATATTTTTCTGCTTCTTTACTGTTCTGGAGGGCCTTTATGAAATGGGGCCTCATGAAGGGAAAAGGAAAGTATTGATAAAGCTGAATTAGGAACTACTATATTTCAGCCAGGTAGGTTTTTGTAAGGCTACACATATTTAATCATTTTTATACCAACGTGTAAAATAAATTGTAACAGATGACTTTATAGAAATTATTGACATTTTACCAACTTTTGAAAAACAATACTAAGGCAGAAACCTTGAATGGAAAAATTCTGTCAATTTGAAAATCCTTTTAACAATTATTGAAATTGGTACTTATGGAATTTAAATTTATGATGAAATGACATTGATTTTAAACATTGGTTTTTAAGACCAAGTTAGTTGGTACAGCCTAAGCTTGGAAAACATTTTTCTAAAACCATCATACTGCATATAATAAATCAGTTGAGAATTCTGCATCTTCTCGCCGGGCCCCAGCCTGCAGCCCCTGGTATCATCCACCTTTCTAGTCCCAATGATTGGCAACTGCAAGCATCAGCTGGATCCATCTTTCATATCTTCAGGAACTGGAAACACAAGAGGGGATTAATCTTTAAACTATCTTCATCTAGTCATGCCAACAGGTTACCTCTCTCCAAACAGGCAAATCAGAAAAAAACAAACAAACAACAACAACAAAACCATGGTTAAGTGGATAGACAACCAGGGAATGAGTTGTTGGTCTCCACTTCTTGCATATGCCACAAATTTAACATTACATTATCTTGGGATCTCTTCCTTTAGTTTTGGGGATGGAGGGGACCCAGTTAAACATACCTTTCCCCTTACCAAAAAGATAAGAAAGAGAAACTTTCCTCTTTTCACAAGTATCTCATTCCAAAAAAGATGGTCTTCCCCGTTTATCAATCCTCCTCTCATATTTCTTGACATTTCTTTTCCTCCTAAAAATGTGGGAGTCTCAAACAAAGAATTGGGCCTTCTTTTAATTTGACTCTGGAGAATTGACAAATATGAGCAAGAACCCCCCAAACAGAATTTATTTATTAAAAATTGTGTATTCTTACATGTATAAATTTCAGTAACCTTCAAAGTACTCTCCGTTTGATGAAATACATCTATTGAGACACTTTTTTTCACTGCTCAAAATAGTTCTTGAACTTGTTAATTTGGATGTCTTTTAGTGTTTCTGCCATTTTTTATTTCACTTCTTCCACATTGGCAAAATGTTTCCCTTTGAGGACTTTTTTCATCCAGAGAAACAAAAACAAGCCGCTCAGGGTAAGATTGGGTGATTAGGGAAGGTATGGCACTGGGACATTGCCGGTTTTGGTCAAAAACTGAACACTCAGTGTGGTGTGGGCAGGTGCGCTAATAAATTACTCATTATGAAATAGACAAACACATTGAAAGAATTTCCAAAAAAAGTCACTGAAGCCAAACACAGCCTCTTACAACAACACTATTTGTTACACTGTTGCCAATGGGTTCCTAAAACAATTACCTAACAGTAGAAACCTATACTACAAGGGGCCTGCCCACCAAAAGATAATTCCAGGTTTTTGGAGTCCCCCCTCATATATTTCTTAACTATGCACCATTTCTACTATAATTCCTGCACTATTATGGTGACTTTTTTTTTTTTACTATTAAGTTAACTTTTATGGGCAAGAAAAGCTATCATCCGGTAAAACTTGCATCATTCCAGTACACGTACTACCAAAAATTCCTGCATATTGCAAAACGCATGGAATCTGGAAGAAATAAATTCAAGCCTTCATATTCACTTTTCAAGACTAATTTCCTACTCTACAGTTACTGGGAGTTGAATATGGCAATGTAAAAACTATGTAAATAGTAGTTTTTATTGCTATTATTACCATAATAGGAAAACTAGAAATGATATGTATTACCTCCCTGTGGAACTATGTCACAGTGCATGACTGAGGCTCTAGCACTACAGTTTGAAATTGCTTTGTTTTTATTACACAGTGAGAGATGTCCTAAACCAGGCACCTGGTTCTCAGCCTTGGCACTACTGGCATCTTGGGCCTTATAGTTCTTTGCTGCGGGCAGCAGTCCTGTACACTGTCTAGCAGCAACTCAGGCCTCTACTCAATAGATGCCAGGGATCCCCCAACCCCCACCACAGTTTTGACTATCTAAGTTAACCTTCAGACTTGCCAAATGTACCCTTGGGGACAAAATTGACCCCAGTTGAGAGTCAGTGCCTTAAAACAAGGTTTATCCAAAGTTATATGAAAAATACTTGGTAATCTCCATGTCATTTTTTTCATTAAATGTTTTTCTCATTAAGAGGCAATACATGTTTATTTCCAAAAACTTGGAGAGGCAGATAAGCAAAGCAATTTAAGATTTTTATCTTAACATAAACAATACCAACCACCCAATGACAACCCATAATGATAATTTCTTCAACTCCTCTTCTAGATAGATAGGTAGATAGATAGTAGATATTTAATACTGTCTTAAAATAGAAACAAAGTGAAAAACTTAAAGGTTTTCTTTATTTCATTTTTATTTTGTTTTAGTTATTTATAAATGAATATGATACAATTCCATTTGAAGCTATATCTTACCTGACTGGGGAGTGTAATTATGGAGGAAGAGTGACAGATGATTGGGACAGACGTCTTCTGTTAACCATGCTGGCTGACTTTTACAATCATCATGCAATTGAAAACCCTCACTATAGGTTTTCTCCCAGTGGAAACTATTTTGCACCTCCCAAAGGCAGTTATGAGGACTACATTGAATTCATTAAGGTAACTGATGTCACTGGAATTAGGGTTAAATTTATGCATGATTTTTCTAAAAGCAAATAGTGAAATGTTTCTCTCAAATATATAGGTTTAGACATTATTATAACTTCAGTCATCCTTCCTTCCTTCCTTCCTTCCTTCCTTCCTTCCTTCCTTCCTTCCTTCCTTCCTTCCCTCCCTCCCTCCCTCAATCTATTGTCCTCAGTCTATTGTCCAGGCTGGAGTATACAATAGCACAATCATGGCTACCATAGCCTTGACCTCCTGGGCTCAAGCAATCCTCTGCATCAGCGTTCCAAGTAATTGGAACTACAGGTGTGCACCACCATGCCCAGCTAATTTATTTATTTATTTATTGTAGAAACAAGGTCTCAACGGGTTGCTCAGGCTGGTCTTGAACTCCTGGCTCAGGCAATCCTCTTGCCTCAGCCTCCCAAAGTACAGGGATTAGAAGTGTGAGCCACCACACCTGGCCTTCACTCAACTTTCAATGCCTTTTTTTTCCTAGCAATTACTGAAAATTGGAAAAGTTTGAGTCTTCTGTTATTTTCTGTTTAGTTGATTTTTAATTATTTTGGTCTGTACTTCTGCCCTATGAATTAAGGAAAAACTTTCCCTCTACTCTCTTAAGTTCAGTGGCTACAGCCTGCCATTTAAACTGACAAACAACAGAAAAACAGAAGAAAAGGCATAGAATTTTTATTGATGTTAATATTTTTATGTGCACAGGGGCTTTGCAGAGAAGGAATGACAACCAAAAGAAGCAGTTATTCTTGGGCATTTACCATTTTTACAGAGGGTAATAAATGGTGGAAAAGTGACTAGACTAAAAAAAGGGGATTGGGGCTTCTGGGGACACTAAATTGTGGGAAAGTAATTAGGAAATATATGGGGGAAACTAATAGAAGATAAGGGTTATTTTAGTGAAGTCTGTCATCTCAGTACCACCTTTTTTTTGTCTATAGTGTTGAGGGTAGTTCTCCTCATCCTGGTACAGGAGAGGGGGAAATATATGCCACTGTCACAGAGCGAAATGTATGACCTGCTTTTAGGCAGATAAGGAGATGGCAGAGAACTCTTTCTGTAGCTGTTGGTTCTGAATTGCCTTCAGCTTAAAATAATCCTTATGCTAAAGTAGCATATTTTGGGGTGACATGTTCCGATCCCCCTCAATATCCTGTGATAATCTGATACATGCTTAACCTATTTTCTGGTAGAAACTTCCATTCGTTCAGCACCCTGAAATATTTGGATTACATGAAAATGTTGACATCTCCAAGGATCTTCAACAAACAAAAAGCCTCTTCAAGTCCTTACTCCTCACCCAGGGAGGCTCCAAACAAACAGGAGCCTCCGGAAGTACTGACCACATTCTATTGGAAATTGCCAAAGATATTCTCAACAAGGTAATATTTAGCTAAAATATGTTGCTTATAATATAAATAAAAATGATACTGAAATGATAATCTGAAAACGGCGTGTGCCAGCATAACCTTGAGCAAGTTTTGCCTCTCTAAGCATTAGTCTCCAAATCTCATAAGTGGTGATAATAGTACCAATTTTATGAGGGGTTTTTTTGAGAACATTAAAGAGACCATTAATTTAAAGTGGTTTGCAAATGTCTGGCACATAGTAAGTTCTTAGCAACTGTGGTTGTGAATGAGCTTGTGTAATGAGAAATGATGATGTTATTGTTTCAAAATAAAAGATAGAGATCCTATTTATTAAATAGGGGAAATGTTCTGAACTTGTGGTTCAAGGAGAAATGGCTTTTAATCTATACCTGAAGAAGTGAGGAGGCAAAGGGAGATAAGATCAGTGCTAAGTCAGCCATTACAGCTTATTCTTTTCATAGTAGCCCAATGTACTTAGCTCTACTAAGTAGCACAGCTCTCTATTCTCACCTTTTCCTGCAAGTCCTAAATTTAATAAAGAACTACTAAGTGAACTTTTTAAAGATTGTGGTCCTAAGTACAGATCTTCACAATACCCTCCCCCCACCGTAAGTACTACAGCTATCCCCGTATTTCATCGTCAGGCGCTCTGACAGAGCAGAACCTGGCCCCTGGTCCATGTGCCTTCAAAGTCCATGGGAGCCTATTCACCATAAACCTGACTGTGACCACTGGGAAGGAAGGAGAGCAGCACTGGCTGCAGCTGTGGAAGAAAGCAAACTAGCCTGCTCCAGCCCTGCTCCTGTGCTGCTGCCTCTGCCATTTCTCACCCCTGGTCCCCACTGCTTCTGTGGTTCATCACTGTGAGGAAGGGTTCTTCTTACCCTTACAGGAGTATGGCTTTTACAAGATCCCTAACAGGGTACTTGGCAGGGGCTTTGGGGACATCTTTGGGATAAAGGAGTTATCTGAGCCAAAGGGCCCTTTATGACATCACCCATAGTGACTCAGAAGGATTCTTTTGCACCACCCAGGGGCCATCACCTAGGGACAGTCTGGGAAGCTCAGCCCTCTTGGTTTAGGACTTCCCTAATTGGGAAGTTCCATTGTCCATTTAGAAGTGTGAATTCCAGTGTCCTGGGACTTGATCATCAGTCCCAAAGTCCCCTTTGCTTCTTAAGCGTCTCTGAGGTGCCTCACAGAAATTAGACACTTGACCTTCCCTCTCCCAATGCCCTACATTACACTGATTATTTGGAGTCAGTTGATAATTTATTAGAAATAAATATACAACAGTTGTGAAATGGTATGATAGTTTTATCAATGGAAAATAATTTTTAATTTACAAAAATACATTTTAAAACTTTCCAGAAATATATCTTTTGCAAAGTGCTGTAGTAGTTACATGGGCCTTAGAGTTAGAAACCTATAGATTTAGACAGACAACTTTATTTATTTATTTATTTATTTTGAGTTGAAGTCTCACTCCTTCACCCAGGCTGGAGTGTAGTGGCATGCACGCACACGGCCACCCCAGCATCGACCTGCTAGGCTCCCGATGATCCTTCCGCCTCAGCCCTCCGAGTAGTCGAAACCATAGGCACCCGCTACCACGCCTGGCTATTTTTTATTTTATTATAGAAACAAGATCTCGCCAAGTTGCCCGGGCTGGTCTCAAACCCGCAGGCTCAGGCAATCCACTCGCCTCTATCTCCCAAAGTGCTGGGATTACAGGCTGAGCCACCAAGCCCAGCCAAACAGACCACTTTATGGCTGTGTGCCCTTGGGCCAGTTAAACTCTCTGTAAATGTCCTCATCTGTAAAATGGAAATAATAATGGCCCCCTAACATGGTATGGAGAGGATTAAATGAGATAATGTGTGGAAAGCAGTTAGCACAGTGCCTGGCACACAGTGACACCCTCGTGTTAGCTGTTATTGATATTATGGTTGAGTAAAGCTAGACCCATTCTGAGAGTAATTTATGATCTTCAAAATCTATTCTTTCAGCTCCCTAGTGATTTTGACATTGAAACAGCACTCTTGAAATATCCTGTGACATATGAAGAGAGTATGAATACTGTGTTAGTACAAGAAATGGAAAGATTTAACAAGCAAGTATCTACATCCCCAGTGATTCAGAAGGCAACCAACCACAGTCAATAAAAAGATACAGTGGCACTGAATTGAAAATTTTGAGGTTATCAAAACCTGCCGTTTCATTAGAATTTCCCCCCCTTTTTAAGAGTTCTATAACCTCCTGCCCTAGAAGAGAGCGTATCTTTTATAACATAACAGATGATGGAAAATAAATCTTTTCCTACTGGTTAAAAATATTCATTAATCATAGCTTCTCACCCACCTGTTACTATTCTTCTCAGGAATTAAAGACAAAATAAGCCTTAAGTAGGCTTATGTGCAGTCCCATCTTTTGTCATTTTTCTGCTACCTGACATCCATATACCTCCCTTTCCTTACTGAGTTTAATTCAGCCCATGTAGGCTGATTTGATACCCCATAATAGCAAACAAATTATTTGCTTTGAATTTTTTACTGAAATTTTCTACAATTTCATACTGGTTTAAGGAATGGAGAATTGTTTTGGTTATGAATGTTCTGTAGTGTTTCTGAGTTTATTTTGGTGTCCAGATTTATTGACAATTAGAATAAAATAAATTAAAACACTTGATGCTTTAATTAATTCAGTATTTATTTTATAAAAATGTGTTCACTTAAATATAATAGTATGCTGTCTCTCAGCTACCTAGGCTTTTAGCAGCTGAGACAGTGAGGACAAGAAATATATTTATGGCATTTTTAGCAGTGTGGACCTACATGGGAAGCAAAATATTGGCAAATGTGTAAATGAATATACAGATTATGTTTTAATGCAGTGTTTCTCTAGTTTCAGCCATTGCATAACACCTTTATAACTTTCATATTTGCATGTCACCTGTAATATTGTTTACCTAATATTTTTCCTTAAATGATTGTTTAGATTAGCCAGATCCTAAGCAGAAATAACCAGCGGGCAAAAAATTGTAAAATATAGAAAGTTGTATTACTTTCTATATTTCAAATATGTATGTAATTATTAAAATGAAAAGTGTTCAAACATGTACCACCTAAAATTACCTCACATACTACCAAGTGGAAGGTATCCACACCTTGGGAAGCATTTCCGTAAAGCTGTGAATGAGATTCCTGCTACTCTTCTTTTTGAAAGACTATATGTTGATACTTACTGTCATATATGTGTTGATGACATCATTTCTTTCATTGCAGTTTAATTGTAACTATACGTAATACTCTACGGGACCTTGAGAAAGCTATTAAGGGTGTGGTTGTAATGGATTCTGCATTGGAGGCACTCTCTGGCAGCTTACTTATTGGAAAGGTTCCAGAAATATGGGCCAAGCGATCATACCCAAGTCTTAAGCCCCTAGGAAGTTACATCACAGATTTTCTAACCCGGTTGAAGTTTTTAACGGTAAAAAATTATTTTTATATGTATGAAAAAATTTATTATATATATATAAATATATACACACAAATATATAAAATTTTATTTTTTCAGTTGATTGGGGAAATATTAGTTATTGGCTGTGGTCACTTGAATGTCTCTGATACTAAATGAAATGTGATTAGTACTTTCATGGTATTCTAACCAAAATTTTAGAATATTGAAAAAGGCACACATTTCAAAGTACTGAGTAGAATTAAAACTTTACTTTACCTAAACTCAAGTAATATGTGACATTTATATTTTTGAAGATTTTAAGTGTGTGGTTCTCTGAGACCCACAATGTAATGTTGTCTTGTAATTTTAATATTAATGATAAGTCACAAAAAACCTGAGGCTTGTACCCCAAAATTTTATCAGTGCAAGGAGGCTTTTATCAGTGTAAGGAGGCTTTTGACAGACTCCCCTGGGTTTTCAAAGTATAGAATTATATTGTCCACAAAGAAGGATAGCTTAACTTCCTCTTTTCCTGTTTGGATACCCCTGATTTCCCTCTCTTGCCTGATTGCTCTGGCAAGGACTTCCAGTACTATGTTGAACAGGAGGGGTGAGAGTGGGCATCCTTTTTTTTTTTTTGAGTTGGAGTCTCACTCTGTCGCCCAGACTAGAGTGCAGTGGCCGCTCCCAGCCACTGTAGCCTCAACCTGCTGGGCTCTGGTGATCCTTCTGCCTCAGCCTTTCAAGTAGCCGGAATTACAGGCATGTGCTACCACACCCGACTGATTTTTTTATTTATTGTAGAGATGAGGTCTCACCAGGCGGGTCTCAAACCCGCGGGCTCAGGCAATCCACTTACCTCAGCCTCCCAAAGCACGGGATTACAAGCTGAGCCACTGAGCCTGGTGAGAGTGGGCATCCTTGTCTTGTTCCCATTCTGAAAGGGAATGCTTCCAACTTTTGCCCATTGAGCAAAATGTTGGCTGTGGGCTTATTATAGATGGCTCTTATTGTTTTGAGGAATGTTCCTTCTATGCCTAGGTGTTCAAGAGTTTTTACCAAGAAGGGATGCTGGATTTTGTCAAATGCTTTTTCTGCATCTAATGATATAATCATATGCTTCTTGTTTTTATAACTGTTAATGTATTGAATTACGTTTATAGTCTTGCAAATGTTAAAATAGCCATGCATCTCAGAAATGAAGCCCACCTGATCATGGTGTATGATCCTTGAGGTGTTTTGGATCCTATTTGTTAGAATCTTATTGAGAATTTTTGAGTCTGTGTTCATCAAGGAGGTTGGCCTGTAATTCTCTTTCCTTGTTGAGTCTTTGCCAGGTTTGGGTATCAGTGATGTGCTTCATAAAATGATTTGGGGGAGAGTTCCATCTTTCTTGATTGCCTGGAATACTTTTGATAAAATTGGTATCAACTCCTCCTTGTATGTTTTGTAGACAGTTGCATTTCTATACACCAGCAACAAGCAGGCCAAAAACCAAATAAAAAGCACAATCCTATTCACGATAGCTACACAAAAAAGAAAAAAGAAAGAGAGACTTTGGCATCCACCTAACCAAAGAAGTGAAAGACCTTTATAAAACACTGCTCAAAGAAATAAAAAATGACACAAACAAATGTAAAAACATTCCTTGCTCAGGGTTTGAAGAATCAATATTGTTGAATTATCCATCCTACCCAAAGCAATCTACAGATTCAATGCATTAACCATCAAACTACCAACATCATTTTTCTCAGACCTGGAAATGGCAATACAGAAATTTATATGGAAACAAAAAAGAGCCCAAATAGCCAAAACAATCCTCAGTAAAAGAAACAAAGTGGGAGGTATTACACTTCCAAACTTTAAACTTTATTACAAGACTATGTAACTAAAACAGCCTGTTATTGGTACAAGAGTAGACACATAGACCAAATGGAATAGGACAGAGATTCTGGAAACAAAAATAATCTCTCAACCAACTCATCTTTGACAAAGCCACCAATATCAATCACTGGGGAAAGGGGACCATATTTAGCAAGTGGTGCTGGGAAAACTGACTGACTACATGCAGAAGAATGAAACTGGACCCCTATCTATCATCATATACAAAAATCAACTCTAAATGGATCAAAGACCTAAATATAAAACCTCAAACTATAAGAATCCCAGAAGAAAATATAGGAAACACCCTTATGCACATTGGAGTATTCTTGACCAAGCCCCCAAAGCAAATGCCAGAAAAGTTAAAATAGACTAGTGGGACCTCATCAAACTGAAAAACTTTTGCAAAGCAAAAGAAACCATCAAGGGAGTAAAGAGACAACCCACAGAATGGGGAAAAAAATTGCTAATTATGTATCTGATAAAGGTCTAACATCCAGGATATACAAGGAACTCAAATGAGCTGAAAGGAATAAATAAACAAACAACCCTATTAAAAAGTGGGCAAAGGACATGATCAGACACTTTTCCAAAGAAGATATACAAGCAGCCAACAGATACATGAAAAAAATGCTCAGCCTTACTAGTCATCAGAGAAATGCAAATCAAACTACAATGAGATACTACCTAACTTCAGTAAAGATGCCATCATTAATAAATAAAAAAATGACCGGGCTCAGCTTGTAATCCTAGTACTTTGGGAGGCTGAGGTGAGTGGATTACCTGAGCCCACAGGTTTGAGACCAGCCCTGGCAACTTGGCGAGACCTCGTCTCTACAATATATCAAAAAATTAGCCGGTGTGTTAGCCCGTGCCTGTAGTTCCAGCCTCTTGGAAGGCTGAGGCTGAAGGATCGCCGGAGCCCAGCAGGTGGAGGCTGTGGTGGCCAGGAGCATGACACTGCACTCCAGTCTGGGTGACAGTAAGACTCCAACTCAAAAAAAAATCAAAAAACAACAGTTGCTGGTATGAAGAAAAAGAAACGTTTCTACACTGTTGAAAAGCAGCGTGGTGATTCCTAAAATAACTAAAAATTGACCTTCCATTTGATCCAGCAGTCCCTCTCCTGGGAATATACCTGGAGGAATTTAAATAGTTCTACCAAAAAGACACCTGCACACACATTTGTGGTTGCACGATTCACAATAACAGAAACATGGAACCAACCATACTGTCCATCTTTTAAATATTTTTTAATTTATGGAAGTTTTGTGTAGATAACAAAAGCAACAGTATAGAAAAGAGTATTGAAAGGGAATCCTCCTTACAGAATCTACACAATTTTCTCACCATTTTTCTTTCTCTTCACTTCCTAGTGATTCTTAGAATTAACAAATTAGTGCCGGGCTCGGTGGCTCAGCCTGTAATCCTGCACCTTTGGGGGGCTGAGGTGAGTGAATTGCCTGAGCCCGCGGGTTTGAGACCCGCCTGGGCAGCGAGACCTCATCTCTACAGTAAATCAAAAAATCAGCTGGGCATGGTAGCGCATGCCTGTAATTCTGGCTACTTGGAAGGCTGAGGCGGAAGCCCAGCAGGTCGAGGCTGCAGTGGCCGGGAACGGCCATTGCACTCCAGTCTGGGCGACAGAGTGAGACTCCAACTCTAAATAAATAAATAAATAAATAAAAAGAATGAACAACTTAAACAAATGAGTCATCTGAGTTTTTCTATCATTTCCTCATTTCTCTCTCCTCATTCACCCTATTAATTTCTGACTTAGTCTGTCCAGGCTGCTATTTTACAAAGTAAAATAGTCTGGAGAACTTAAAAAAATAGACATATATGTATTTCTCATAGTTCTGGAAGCTGGGAATTCCAAGATTAGGATGCGATCATGGTCAGGTTCTTGGCAAGGGCTTTCCTGGTTCACAGATGAGAGAGAGAGAGAGACAGAGACAAAGATCTCTCCTATTTCTTCTTATAAGAGCACTAATCCTATCATGAGGGCTCAAACTTTATGACTTAATTACCTCCTGAAGGCCCTAACTCCAAATTCAAACACCTTGGGAATTAGGGTTTCAACCTATGAATTTTGGAGGAAAACAAACATTCAGTCCATAGTATCTTCCCTTTCTTCTTCCTGTTCCTTTTAAAAACAGCTTTTTGCACACTTCCTAAAATCCCAGGACAAATCCTAGATCTAGCACTTATTATCTTTGTGACTTTGTGCAAATTACTCATCTTTCTGTACCCATTTCCTCATCTGTAAAATTGGAGGAATAATACCTAACTCACTGTTATTTTATAGACTAAATGAGATGCTACATGTAAAAGTGCTTAACACTGGCTTGTACTAAGCACTTAGTCAGTGATAGCTAATTCAGAGATTGGATAAGTAACTGACTACAGACGCTAATGATATTTGGCTAAAGGAAGCTCTGGGTGAGTGAATTTTCTACACACTTGCCTTCTGAGTTCTTATAGCTTTCTTGAGCGTGATGCTGCTTCTGCCTGGCTTTGCCTTTGACAGACTCCATCTCTTTCTCTACCTTCTCTTGAACTGCTAGCTTGCACTGTTGGCAACATCTCCAGAAGCAGTTTGTTCTCTTTCTCCGAGGGAGCAAAGCTGGCTTCTATTGCTTGCTCAGAGACAAAGATCATTTCATTGATTCATCTGTTCATTCAACAAACATGAATTGAGACCCCACTTTTTTCAAAACACCTTATTGTGTGCTCTATGATAAAAAGATCATTTCAATATGAATTCTGCCTTCAAGTTGCCAATAACCTACAGGGAGACAAACTGTGTATCTAAAGAAAACTAATATAGTAAGGGATGTGCCATAAAAGACCAAATGTAAAACACGCTGCGAGTTCAAAGACAGGAGAGAGTTCTTTGGCTGAAGAAAGCTGAGTTTGTTTCATGGATGACATAGACTGGAGCTGGGTCTAAAGGAGATAGCTGGGTAGCTGTTGGATGAAAGGCACTGTATATTTAGGACTGATTCTGTTGTAACAAAAATTCTAACATAAGCAAAAATAAAGTCTGTTCTCTTGTGTAACTAAAAACTCCAGGGGTTAAGGTGCCTTCAGGTCGAATTTGACCTGGGATACAAAATGGGTCCCTGATCAGGGCTTGCACTTCATCTCTTGGCTCCATTCCCTTTGGGTTAACTCCATTCTCAGGTTCTTATCTGATGGAAGCAAGATAGCAACAGCAACTCTGGCCTCACATCTACACAACTTCAAGGAGTTGAGAGTGAGTTTTCTTCCCTAAAAGTCACAGCAAGAGTTTCTGCATCTCTGGTTTTGATTGGTTTACATGTCCATTTCTGAATCACTATGACAGGAGGTGTGATTGACTAGGAATGAATCAGATAACCCTCCCAGAAGTCTAGGTGGAGTTCTACCACCAGAAGTGCTTGGATTGAGAGTGTAGAGGGTTTGTCCTTCAGAGGAAAAGAAGAATTTGTATCACTTTAATTTAAGATCGGCAGAAAAAACAACTGATGTTCACCCAGCACAGAGGAGACCAGCAAATTGTCTTGTCTGGTTAGAATATAGGATGCTTGAAGGGAAGTAAAAGAGAGATGGAGCTAAAAATATAATTTGGGGCCAGATTGTGAAAAATCTTGAATAAAAGACTAAGAGGATTAAACTTTAATTTGGTGGGTCACTGAAGAATTATGCAAGATTCTAAACCTGATCCAAACTATGCATGGTGAGGTATATTCCAGCACCATGGTTTTAATGTATTGAGCAGAAAGAGGAAGCAAGAAGACAGCACACACTGATGCAGAAACAAGACCATGCATACATGAACTGTAGTGAGGGCAGTGGGCGTGGAGACAAGGGGTTTAAGAGGATTAAGGAATCAACACATGAGGGCTATAGTTAGACACTGTGTAAGATGTCTACAGATGGTTGCTTTGGAGTGGGATAATGTAATAAATCTCCCAAATAATTTATATTTGACTTTTTGCAGAAGATTTGAATCTGTCAAACTATGTTTCATTCAGGGCCATGCTGAAATTATTTTGAATTTCCTGAGAAGAGTAACTAGAAGGGAAAAGAGATAGGAGAGCCAAGATAGGCTGTGTTTGATATCAGGGAAGAGAGTCTTGTGATGGAAAGTGTGGGCAACATCCACAAAAACCAGAATCAGGAACTATACGTCAGGTGGCACATAAGTTTCAAAATGGACATAATATATTTTGTTTTCCCTTTATAGGACTGGTATAATTCAGGAAAACCTTGCGTGTTTTGGCTCTCAGGCTTCTTTTTCACTCAAGCCTTTCTAACTGGAGCTATGCAGAATTATGCCAGAAAATATACCACCCCTATTGATTTAATAGGATATGAATTTGAGGTATAGTAACTCCTTAAACTCAACAGTATGTCATTATATCAAGTCATGTATTTAAGCTGAATTGATATATTATAGCCCATTATAAGCAAATGTTACTTCTTTTCATTCTGTGTTCCATGAAGAAAGTATACAGTATTTGTCTTGCCATCCCTAAGATAGAACTTTCATATGTTTCAACATTTGGTTAAGTAATCCAATGCTGTTCTTCTACATAGCAAAAATTAATATGAGGTACAGTAAAACCTAATAAAATAATTTTAAAAGAACCGTATTATACACTTTAACATACTATGGCTGAAAAAAATGTATCATTTAATAAGCTGTTAAATAGTAGTTTCCCTGATGTGCTGGATATTTAGTTAATGTTTTCTTTGAAATTAAGTTGTCTGGAGAGGAAATTGTTGCCAGTATGTACCTCTCCTTGCAGGTCATTCCTTCTGATACATCTAACACGTCACCAGAAGATGGCGTTTATATCCACGGATTATATCTTGATGGAGCGCGCTGGGACAGAGAAAGGTCAGTAGTTTCAACTGCAAAGACCTTGGCAGTAGCTGGATCATAGATCAGAAAAAACGATCTGCTGCTTTTTGTTGTTGTTTAACCAAAAGGTCTCTTCCAAGGATTAAGGAGTAATAAATAATATCAGAATTCTTTTTTTTTTTTTTTTTGAGTTGGAGTCTCGCTCGGTTGCCCAGACTGGAGTGCAGTGGCCGCTCCTGGCCACCGCAGCCTCGTCTGCTGGGCTCCGGCGATTCTTCCGCCTCAGCTTTCCAAGTAGCCGGAATTACAGGCATGTGCTACCACGCCCGGCTGATTTTTTGATTTATTGTAGAGATGAGGTCTCACTGCCTAGGCGGGTCTCGAACCCGCGGGCTTAGGCAATCCACTCACCTCAGCCTCCCAAAGGCGCGGGATTACAGGCTGAGCCACCGAGCCCAGCCAGAATTCTTTTTTTTTGGTCTTCCTTTTTTTATTATAAAGATGTGGGGTGCAATTCAGGGTCAGGTATACAAACACTGATTATGCAGCTACCCTTGTTGATGAGGTGTGCCCCTCCCTCCCCTAGCAGCTTCCCTCAACTGCCAATCCCACCACCCCTCCTCTGACAGTTTCCCACTACTGCCAGTCCCTTTCTTATAGTATTATAATTGTTCAAGGTCCGCTTATGAGTGAGAACATATGGTACTCGGTTCTTTGTTTCTGTGATGGATCACTGAGTATGATCGACTCCAAATCCATCCAAGTTGCTGCGAAGTCCATGATATCAGAATTCTTACATAATCAGTCAGGCCAGTGCAATTGATGAGTGATTACTTTTAGGTCCTAAATGTTTTTTAGTTAATATTTCAGTGGTCTGGCCGAGCTCAGTGGCTCAGCCTTTAATCCCAGCACTTTGGGAGGTCGAGGAGAGTGGGTTGCCTGAGCCTGCGGGTTTGAGACCAGAGTGGGCAACATGGCGAGATCTCATGTCTACAATAAAATTTTTAAAAAATAGCCAGGTATGGTAGCGCATGTCTGTAGTTCTGGCTACTTGGAAGGCTGAGGTGGAAGGATTGCTGGAGCACAGAAGGTCAACAATGCTAGGATGGCCATGAGTGTGCGTGCCACTGCACTCCAGCCTGGGCAAAAAAGTGAGACTCCAGCTAAAAAAAAAAAAAAAAAAAAAAAAAAAATTCAGTGGTCTTATTAGTAGAAAAGTTAACTGAAATTATTTGCCTGCTTATTCTGTTTTATAATAGTTACCTTCCATTTTGCAATGTGTAGGGTTGCCTCACTTTTAAACAATTTACAGTTAATTATAAGAAAGTCCTCATTTCTATTGGTGAATGGAAAACTTTTTCTTCCATTTTGATGAGACAATAAATAAATATTTAGAATAAATGTTGGATTTCCAGTTTCACTCTTAGGAAATTAAGCAATGCTGTTCCTGTTTAAAATATTTAAGAGGAGGGCCGAGTGTGGTGGTTCACACCTGTAATCACAGCACTTTGGGAGGCTGAGGCAAGAGGATTGCCTGAGCCCAAGAGTTCAAGACGAGCCTCACAACATGGTGAGACCTCATCTACAATAAGTGAAAAAATTAGCCAGGTGTGGTGGCTCATGCCTGTAGTCCCAGCTCTTTGGAAGGCTGAGGCAGAAGGATCGCCTGAGCCCAGCAGGTTGAGGCTATGGTGGCCATGATTGTGCCACTGCACTTCAGCCTGGGTGACAGAGTGAGACTCTGACTCAAAAAATAATAATAAGAGTAGGAGAGAAGGAGATAAAATGTTTCCCTTAGAGCCCTACTCTTAAAAATCCATTTATAGATATAACCTTTTCTCTCCAAAGTCAGGATTAGACTTTGTTTTACAGGGAGCACTAAATACTGAGGTAGGAAAAATTGCCTAAGATGGCTCTACAGAGATAATACAAAGACAGTATTATGAAGAGACTCAACTGCACATAATTCATTTTATTATTTCTGTTTTATTTTTTCATTTTATTTCCATTTTTCTTGACTTAATTTGCCTCATATATTCATTTTTTCCTTCCTTTCTTCCCTCCTTCATTCCTTCAATCAATAAACAATGTAGCATAGTGAAAAGAAACCATGTTTTCTAGATAGGCATATCTGTTTGAATCCTGACTCCGGCACTTAAAAGCTACAAAACTGTGAGAAAAGTACTCAACATCTCTAAACTGCCAACCTTTATCTGTGAAATAGCAATAGAGATGGGGACAAAATCATCATGAGGGTCAAATGTGATAGTGTGGTATCTGTATCATTGATATTTGTCCATTTAAAAATTGGCAGATATTTATATTTACTGTTTTACACTTTACCTTTCCATAACTTTCTTTTCTTTCAGTTCTTTATTGCCACTTTTTCATTTTCTTTTTTACATTTCCTTTATCATTCTAGTCCTTTCTTATATTAAAAGCCAATATCTAAGTAGCAATCTGTTTTTAGAAGCAAATTTCCTAAGTTATTTCTAATAGTTGTTGTCAATTTCTCTTTATAGTGGATTGCTTGCTGAACAGTATTCCAAACTTCTGTTTGACCTGATGCCCATCATATGGATAAAACCAAGTAAGTATTCTTTTAACAAAATTTCTTCAAGATTTATGATAGATATTATACACTGCTCCCTAAAATAAGTTTTTGCTCAAACCTTTTAGGATTTGGCTCAATTATAACAAACATTGATGAAATATTTACACTGGAAATTACTGTTCTCCCTTTTTTTGTGTGTGGCATTTATATTGAGAATATCTTTCTGCTTCTTTATGCTCTTAGCCTACAGGGTATGTCATTCTCTACTCCTCCCTCGGAGTAGAGGGGGTTTCAGGGATTGTATAGCTGCCTGCCCATATTTTGATTCTGAACTCCTTTTGCATACTGCTCAGAGGCACAAATAAACTTGACAGTCTTCAGTTAGTGACTAGCATTTTCTGGCTATAAAAGACCCCTAAGCCTAGGAGGCAGCCAGGTGCCCCAAGACACAGGTGTTGCAAGCCATACAGGGTGGAGGCCAGTTTTATCCCCTTGGAGAAGTCATGTTCCTTCCCCGTTTCTTCCATCATCATTTTTCCACAAGTCTGAAATAAAAAGAGGTTCATTCTTTTGTTTTCTCTTTCCTAACTTTTTTATTCTTAAATAACAACAAATGAAAACATTTGCAAATCACCCAGAATCACCATCCAACCTATCACATATTTTCATTATTAATGTGGTTTAGTTATAACTATGATAAATGTGACCTTAGTTTAGAAAGACTCCAGTATCTCATATCTGGCTTTTTAGGAATTATCCATAGATTCTTTTGGGGACTTAGTAAGAGTTGATGTGTTTTTCTTATTAATAACCTGCTAAACTGGGCTCGGTGGCTCAGCCTGTAATCCTGCGCCTTGGGAGGCTGAGGTGAGTGGATTGCCTGAGCCTGTGGGTTCGAGACCCGCCTGGGCAACGAGACCTCATCTCTACAATAAATCAGAAAATTAGTCGGGCGTGGTGGCGTACACCTGTAGTTCCAGCTACTTGGAAGGCTGAGGCGGAAGGATCACCGGAGCCCAGCAGGCCGAGGCTGCAGTGGCCAGGAGCGGCCACTGCACTCCAGTCTGGGTGACGGAGTGAGACTCCAACTCAAAAATAAATAAATAACCTGCTAAAAACAAATAGAAACTACAGCTGCTTCTAATTTATGGGCTTCTTGTATTAGAGCTCTAAACAGTTGTGTTTCTCCCTTTGATTCGTCCCCATTTCCTTCACTGTATTTTATTCCTTCTTCCCCACCTTCTCCTTCTCCTACTCCTTCCCTCCCAATCCTCTTGGGTTTTTTAGGACTGCTAAATGATCATAACTTTAAAATCAATTCCTTCTTCTAGATCTGGAATCATGTGATATATGAAATCATTTGCCTTGTTTCACAACCATTATAATATACTAACTGTAAAAAATACAAAAAACTTAAAAACCTTCAGATGTTATAATCATGATCTTAGAGTTAGTATTGGCTTTATTACAAGATAAATAGTTATCTTTTAGTATCAGTGGCTGTATCAAATGAATACATTTCTTTTTTTTCAAGCTCAAAAGTCTCAGATTATAAAGTCGGATGCCTATGTCTGTCCCCTGTACAAGACAAGTGAACGTAGAGGAACTCTTTCCACCACGGGACATTCTACTAACTTTGTCATTGCGATGTTGTTAAAAACAGACCAACCTACTCAACACTGGATCAAGCGTGGGGTTGCTTTGCTCTGTCAGTTGGATGACTAAATTGGACAAATTTAGAAAACATCTGAAAGTAGTAAAAAATATTGTCTTTAATTATTTAAAAAATATACATTATAAAACTAAGTATCTCTGTTATTCTTTTAAATTTTAAATGATCTTTGTGAATGGTCTCTGCATTTTTCGCTTCCCTGATATACCATGCTTATTTGGAATATGGCCTTCTAGAGATAATTTTGAGAGCACTTGTGGAAGGAAAATGTGAAAAAAAAAGTGTTTCTTGGAAACAAATGAATGATCTTTGAAGTTTTTGTTTAGTTTCTTTTTTAAAGTATGATATGTATGTGAAAAACAGATCTGGGGCATTCAATGGATAAAATTTAACTAATATCAGAAGTTATCTCTTTCAAAAGTGTTAAATCAGCTTCAGTAATGGTTTACTTTCCATTTACCTACCTGAAGGAATTATACACAAACATTTCAAATACATAAAGAAATTGTAAATAGGGAAAATATTAAAACAATTACACAACTAAATCCTTTATTTCATACTTTTAAGTCATTAGTTCCATTCTCATAGTAACCCTGTAACTAAGAAAGGAAACTCAAAACAGTGAAGTTGACCTGCAAAGGCAGTAAGACGGCTGGAGGGCAATCCTAACTTCCACAGCCACAGTGATATTGTACTTCCTGGCATTGACTTCATATTGATTTTGAAATGTCAAGTGGTCTCTTTACTACCTTTAGTGTACATTAGCAATTTAAAAATATTTAACAATACAAATACAAAATTTTAGCCAACATTTTATTAGCTTGTGTGGAGTAAATGCCTTCCTTAGGATTTCAATGACACAAGGCCAAGTTCTGTAACCCAAGGAAAATGTAGGTACAGCTACCTAGTGAATCTGGACCACTGGGACAGTCACTTTTGATAAATCAGTCAGAGCAAAATGTTTGGCCTCTCTTAAATGGAAAATTGATTCTGGTTTGCAGTAGCTATGTGCATGAGTATTAAGAGAATGCATTCTTTTTGCGTGGCTAACCCCCTGCAAAAGCATTTTGCTCCAGGAATAACATTTTTAAATTTGATGAATATGGCAGTGAAGAAAAGAGATCCTGTTTCCAAACAGAGCTAAATCACATGTAAAAAATAAGGAGAATGTGCCAGACTGTCTTATGACCAAGTATTTATAGTAAAGCTATTAATGGAATGGTCATTACAGGGGAGTGGCGATCCTAAATATAAATGAAAATTCTGAGGCTGACATGTGTTAGTCCTTAGCAGTGAACACTTCAGTGCTGTCTTAAGGGATATAACAAAAGGTAAAAAGGGAAGAAAAGAGTCTTTGGTATGTGATCCAATCTATTCTATGCTAAAACTGAAAATGTTCTTTTAAAACCGTTTAGATATTGCCTAATAAAATGCATTTGTTTTGCTGCTGCTATATCTATTATATGTTGTGTTATGAGGATACATTTATTCCTATAAAATGTTTATATTATTTTCAGCATAACATTCATTGTGTGTTGGAAAGATATTTTCTGGATAAGTGCTACCATCACTGAGAAATACTCACAAGTCAAGTCTAAAATAGATCAATATAAGCATTTTCAGTGTTACAATGGCACTGACCTAAGTCTTATGCAAAAAGTTGTTTTTCCTGAATGAACTTTAAGTAAATGGCTACTCATGGAAACGTCTAATTTATGTTGAATCTGTGGCAGTCCAAAAACCTGTTTTAAGTTTATAAAAATTTCTTAATGAATATTTTGTTTTCAAAATTTTGTATTTTCTAGAAAAGTAAACTTGGGGCTTAAAAAAAGAAGAATAAGAAATTCTATTTTCTTCATTTATCAATCCTATGTACTTTCTAGTTTCCTGAATTTTATTTATAACTTAAAGCAGCTGATAATCTTGTAACAACTGGGAAAATATTTTTAATTCATTCTGACTTTAAAGTAAACCTGTCCACGTTCCACATGGATAATTACACCAGTGATGAAGACATGGACGATGACTTTGACACCCAGTTCATCATTCAACAGAGTCTGCAGGATATTTACAAGCCAGGAACAACACAACAGGCACCTGAGGATGAGAGGTAATAGTTTTCTGTTGACAACATAGTACTAAGTACTGTATTCAACAACTGAGACCTGTCATTAGCTTAACCCTAGTGTTGTGACAAAAATAGGAGAGTCAGAAGCCAAGGAGCTATCATTTAAATTAATCTATAAGATAGCATGTCTGACTGGACAGGAAAAATCTGGAGAAAATTCAGAATTTAATTAGGCAGTTAAAAACTAGTTAAAGGAGGTTAGCAGCAAATCTGGGTGAGGAGCTGCAGACTGGAAATCAGAAGAAATATATAAAAGGGGATATGAAGGGCTAGTGAAAAACTCCACATGTTTTGTCTTTAGGGAGCTGAAGAAACGCATAGGTCCAAACAAGACACTAGAAAGTTCTCTTCCACCTTAGTGAGGTAGGTAGGGATGGGGTCCAGTCTTTGATCTACTCAAATCAAAAGGAGGAATTACGTAAACTTAAACCCAAGACAGACCAACCCACTCTGAAGGTGTAGTTTCATAGTTCTGTTATGACAACAGTAGGAAAGGACCAGTGTGTCCATCTGTGGTCTAAGAAGAATCGTCCTGGAGACGGGCAGTCCACAGTCACACACACCTAGTCAAACGATCTCTGACTGATCCACAACCTCAGTCCTCTGAGGTAGTTATAACCGCTGTTTTTTCTGGGGTGATAAACCCAGGTTGCTTGGGATGGTAATCTCTATTTGCCTGCTGGAGGTAAAACTGGACAAATGCTTTTAACTCTAAGAGATTTCATAATTAAATATAGAGATGATGGACTGGGTGTGGTGGCTCACACCTATAATCCCAGCACTTTGGGAGGCTGAGGTGAGAGGATTGCCTGAGACCACAGGTTGGAGGCCAGCCTAGGCATCTGTACAATAAATTAAAAAATTAGCCAGGCATATTGACACATATCTGTGGTTCTAGCTACTTGGAAGGCTGAGGCAGAAGGATTGCCTGAGCCCAGCAAGGAGGCTGCGGTGGCCGTGAGTGTGCCCCTGCACTCCAGCCAGGGTGAGAGTGAGACTCTGACTCAAAAAGAGAGAGAGATGACCTATTGCTTGTTTGGTTTTGAGTTGAGGTCTCACTCTGTTGCCCAGGCTGGAGTGCAGTGGCATGATCATGGCCCACCATAGGCTCTACCTTCTGGGTTCAGGTAATCCTTCCACCTCAGCCTCCTAAGTAGCTGGGGCTATAGCCACATACCACTCTTGGCTAATTTTTTAATTTTTATTTTTGTAGAGACGAGGTCTTGCTATGTTGCCTATGCTGGTCTTGAACTTCTGTGCTCAAGCAATCCTTCTGCCTCAGCCTCCCAAAGTTCTGGGATTACAGGCATAAACCACTACACCCAGCCTCCTATAGTATTTTTAAAAATACTGCCAGTCTAGGTAATATAGCAAAACCTTGTCTCTACCAAAAACATTAAAAAAATAAAAAAAGTAGCCAGGCATAGTGGTATTCCTGTAGTTCTAGCTACTCAGGAAGCTGAGCCAGGAGGATCACTTGAGCCCAAGAATTCAAGGTTGCAGTGAGCCATGATTGTGATCACTATGTGTAACATTAAATATTAACTCATTTAAATGTTAATTTTCATTACTATGCTATGACGTGGGTACTATTATTATCCCCATTTATAGATAAGGAAACTGAGGCACAGAAAAGTTAAGTGACAAAGCCAGTAAGATTACAGAACCAGTAAGTGAAGAGCCAGGCAGCCTGACTCCAGAGTCTATCTTCTTTTTTTTTTTTTCTTTATTTTAAAGATGCGGGGCACAATTCAGGGTTAGGTATACAAATGTTCATTGTGCAGGTACCCTTGTTGATGTGGTTGCTCCCCCCGGCAGTTTTTCTCAACTGCCAATGCCACCCTCCCACCCCTGGCAGTTTCCCACTACTGCCAATCCCTTTCTTATAGTATTTTAATAATTGTTCAAGGTCCACTTATGAGTGAGAACATATGGTACTCTGTTCTTTGTTTCTGTGATAGATCACTGATTCATCTATCTTTGATGATAGACAGAGTCTATATTCTTTTTTTTTTCTTGAGTTGGAGTCTCACTCCGTCATCCGGACTGGAGTGCAGTGGCACGCGCCCGGCCACTGCAGCCTTGACCTGCTGGACTCCAGAGATCCTTCCGCCTCAGCCTTCCAAGTAGCTGGAACTACAGGCGCGCACTACCATGCCCGGCTAATTTAGAGTCTATATTCTTTTTTTATTTTTATTTTATTTTTTTGTGAGTTGGAGTCTCACTCTGTCGCCAAGACTGGAGTGTAGTAGCCACTCCCGGCCACCGCAGCCTCGACCTGCTGGGCTCTGGCGATCCTTCCCTCTCAGCTTTCCAAGTAGCTGGAACTACAGACGCATGCTACCATGCCCGGCTAATTTTTTTGATTTTTATTGTAGAGATGAGGTCTCACCAAGTTGCCCAGGTGGGTCTCGAACCCACGAGCTCAGGCAATTCACTCACCTCGGCCTCCCAAGGCGTGGGATTACAGGCTGAGCCACCGAGCCCAGCCTAGGGTCTATATTCTTAACCACACACTATTCCTGTAGTTTTGTGTTGATTTAGGAATAATTTTTTAAATAATCTTTAAATATTAAATGTTTTATAAAGAAATTGGGTTTATTAGGTTATTTATTATATTAAACTTATGATTAAAATTTTTAAATGCATAACTGAGTAATTGACTTTGAACTAATCAGTTTAGGTTGAAAGGTGTAAAAGATTTTGGCTAAGTAGAACAATCCATGTTTCAGAGAAATTGAAATTGACTATAGTTATCAATTTAATTGATTAGACTTGCAAGAATTTTATGATACTTAAAAGGTTTGCTGATTTGGTCAGGTACTTGAAGGACTTAGAAAACTAGAATATACTTGAGACAGATGGAGTGATGGCCCCATCCAAAGATGCTCTAATTTCTGCATCCTGTAAATATATCACCTTACATAGCAAAGGGGAAGTAAGGCTACAGATGGGATTAAGGTTGCTAATCAGCTGACTTGAAGATAGGGAGAGGAGCCTGAATTAC